TTTCGAATGGGGCGGAAGAGGGATGTGTATAGCTTCAGGCTGCCGGATGGGCTGTCTGAGAACCTGTAGTACGTGATCGTTGTTCTTGGATAGTGTAGGATACACGGCCCTGCGGACACGCGGAACTACACGCGATCTCGATGCTCATGAAAGACTACTTCGATCGATTCTCGCAATCGTCAAAATCAACATACTGTAGCTCATCAGTCACGACGGAATGTACCCAGGGGTATCGAAGAGCCCGGAGCTATACACGGGCTTGTCCATTGACGCTCGCAAGAACATTGCTTTGTGTATAGCTCCAGGCTGCGTGATGAGCTGCGGATGGATGCTTCCCAACAACCTGCAGTACTACAGCTTGTCAGATACAACGGAAGAACTCTCGGTGTAGCCTCAGGCCATTTGATGTTACACCCCGGTCCCCTTTCTGTCAACGCACAACCTCTCGTCGCACCACCACGCCTCACGCCTTGACCACCTGTCTAATCCACTTTGAATCCCCATATCACCTATTTTGTAAATCTCGACGTGCACGGCCTTGAACCAAGACATTCCAAGTCGGGCGGAAACACACATCCCCAGCGTTCAGCCTCGTTTTTGGTGTTCGAGGCGCAAAAATTCGGTACCGCGGTCCGTGGGTGCAATTAATATTTTGATTGACCCGGCCACGAGACTGTGTGACATGATGACGACACTGGCAGCTCAAATCTGGAGCCGAAGCGTCGATGCAGAACGTGGGATGCTGGGAATAAGCTGTTGCAGGTCAGACTGCATGTAGAGTTGGTTGTTGGAAGAAGAGTGGTGGTGAGGATCTAGCGCACACCAGAAGGTTTCGCGCGAACCTCAACCACCGGTCTTTCTGAGCAATGTTGGTCGGATCGGCACAGCTGCCGTGGAATAGACAGCACGTGGTGTGGAGCCGTTCACCTCGTCTCCGCGCCACACACTCAAGCCATCGAGACTCGCTCCCAAGCATGTGTTCATTGCGCCGAGTACCGAGTTGCATCCTGGGCACTAAAAGGTCCGATATGAGTAGCCGGGTCGACTACCGTTTCACTGCCGCAGCACTAATCTGTGTAGATTAAATCGCCACTAAAGCGGACCAATGGCAGCGCCATGTGGACGTGCGGGTGACGCTGCAACACCTCTCTTGGCTAGAGGACAGGCAACAAAGCAAGTATGCAGGCCAGTAGCGTGCAGCGAGAAAATACCAGGTCGAGCAAACGACATAGATTAATCAATAGATGAAGAAAAGTGGGGTGCAGGAGGTTAGAGTTTAATGGTCGACGGCTGGTGGAGTGGAGGAGGAAGTATATAGAGCGACGTCAAACCCGTCTGTGAATATCAGCTCGACAGGATATCAGAACAAGCAGCAAGCAAAGCAGCAACTCACCAATCCCACTCCCTCACTCTCTTCTTCCAATCATGAAGTCCTTCATTGCTGCTATCGCTCTCCCAGCGCTCGTCGCTGCCCACGGCCACGTCGACAAAGTCATCGCTGATGGCACAGAGTACCAGGGCTGGAACGCCGCTCTCAAGTACCAGAACCCCATCCCCGCCACTGTCGGATGGCAGGCGGACAACCTCGACAATGGCTTTGTGAGCCCCGATAGCTTCGGCAAGGTCGATGTCGTGTGCCACAAGCAGGGCAAGAGCAACGGCGCCTCGGTGCCCGTCAAGCCCGGAAGCAAAGTGACCTTCAAATGGGTTCGTCCTCCTTCTCCCATTCCTCTCCCACCCATCCAACTAACACCACTCCGCAGGACACCTGGCCCATCAGCCACGTCGGCCCCGTGCAAGAATACATCGCGCCCGTGTCCGGTGACTTCAGCACCGCCAACCCAGCCACCCTCCAGTGGACCAAGATCGCCTCGTCGGCGTGGAAATCCGGCTCCAACCCGGGCACCTGGGCGACGGACGACCTGATCAAGAACAACTTCAGCTGGGACCTTACGATCCCCAACCTCGCACCCGGCAACTACGTGCTGCGCCACGAGATCCTCGCGCTGCACGCCGCGGGTCAGCAGAACGGCGCACAGGCGTATCCCCAGTGCATCAACATTGTGGTGTCTGGCAGTGGAACTGTCAAGCCGACTGGTGGTGTCGTTGGTACTAGCTTGTACACTGCTACCGACCCCGGTATTTTGTTCAACGTTTTCAGGAGCTTTACTAGCTATCCTGTTCCCGGACCGGCGGTGGCCAGTTTGAAGAAGAGGGATGAGCGCGAGCATGCGAGGGACTTTGCTTAGATGGAGCGAGTGATAGGATTCGGTGGTAGGATGGGATGGGGCGCTGGGCGTCGAGATGGTGGAATTTAGTTGTATATAGGGATGACTTCTGTTCCGATGTAGATATTTAAACATAGTGTTTTTCAAATTGGCCTGGCCATCCAGTATGATGTTTTGCGTTGAACGTGTTGGATCATCTTCCCACTGTTGCGTTTCCGTCTCTTGCAAAAGGCGGTTCGTTCCTATTTGGTGCAACTTGTCTGAGAACGATGCGAGTGATATTCTATACTGTTAGTGACGCTACACCAGCTCGCTGGATCTGCTCCGCCGCGAAAGCAACATTAGATGTTAATGACAGAGACCCGAGACACATGATATGTGGATTGTGCGATGGTAGAGTACATCCGATACTCAATTCTCGGTGTGGATTGATTTCGCATCCAGTATCTTCAAAGTTTCGGTACCACTGACTTACTTGAGACAATAAAAAGGACCATCCCAAGAAGGTATACAGCACAGCCTGTTGCAGAACGGGGCACAGGCTCTGCATCATATGTTCCCTGGATAAGCACATGGGCTATCTGATATCGTGTTGGATCCCGGCAGTGTCTTTATGATATCGCAAGGTATAGGACCAGGTCGTCGGTAGCACTTGTTCCTGGGCTTGATCCTATCCGTGATTCGATTTGCCCATGCCTCTTTGGGCCTGCATGTTCTCAGTAGAGGAACTGTTCAAGATTAATACTTTCCCGTAACATATACACGGAGGTGTTAGACGTGAGCTTGTTCGCTATGCTGATGTGCTGTTGCTGTATCATTAGCTGCGAGGATCCATCATGTTGCTTGTATCCTATAGTATTGTCCCAGCATGAAGCACCAGACGACCCATCTTAACCTTGAAACCCAGCAATGACGTTGTAAAAAGGTAGTACTTGGCGCTGATGTATCTCGTCAAGATTTGTCCGTGTGGAAGTCCGGATAGGCTGGGATCATATGTGTTCACGGACCCTCCCGGCTGATCGGATGATGACATTGCCATCACCTCCAAATTTTTATCTGGGCAAGGTACAATTATAAGATTATCGTCGATTCGCTCCGGGCACAGGGTTGATCATCGCGCTCCTTGTTGCAAGGCGCATTCCTCTTGGCGTTAGGATGACGCGTCAGCACCGCAACCACATCGAAACGCATTTCCTTCACCAGTCCCCAAGACCTCGGACTGTACAACCAAGCCGGCTCCTGAGACTAAGATGAATGCTTCAGCCTATGAACACACTGCGCCTCCACAGTCCGCCAGTTCCGCTGGAACGGGATAAGCTTGGTCCCGAGTTTGTTGACGGACTCAGCCACGCCGGATCGTAGCGGGTATCACGCCCAAGAGCACCAGAGTTGCAGACTGACGCGTTCCTGGATCCCAAACAGGCAGCGCGCAGGCTGTTATTTGCGGCAAACTACACGTGAAGGCTGGATCCGGCCAATAGGTGAGCAGCGATCAGAGGGACCTGTCTGCGACTGGGTAGATGCCGCTCGAAACGTCCGACCGGATCGGGAACTGCGTAGAAAAGCTCCTTGATGGAAGCAAGGCAGCAAACAGAAATACGGCGTTGCTTGCTGTTCGGTTTGCTGCGGACAGCGAATGTTAATAATTGACTTGCTCACTTTTACTTTCACCTTGTGTTTTCTTCGTCAAGGTTCATCGCTGTCACATCCCGTCCAACACTACCATTCCTCATCCGCTCACTCCCGCTGACAGCCTTGGAAGTGCTTACGAACTTGCTGCGCATTTCTTGGGCCTGCGCACTTGCATATATCAGCCCGAGTGCAACCAACTACTTCTCAAAACTTCTGTACCACCCACAAACAACCTCACTTACCATCCCCATCTCGCAAAAATGTACATCCCCCACCATGCCACCACTTCGCTCCTCAAGCGCGACAACATGGGCTTCGTAATCCCGCCCTGGGCCATCATCCTGCTCGTCATGCTGGGCGGCGGCTTCGCGATTTGCTGCGGCTACGCCCTATTCCGCTTCTACTACGAGCCGTCGGACGAGACGAAGTGGGCCAGTAGGCGGCCCGAGCAAGATGCGTATATGCGGGAGGTACGGGAGCGGCATTGGCATGAGTTGAGTAGGAGGACAGGAGGGGCAGCGTATTTTCAGCCGAAGGGGGATGGATTGGGGCATGCACCGATTAGTCCTAGGTGAGTTGGGAAGTGAAGGGAGTGAGTATGCTGGAGCTAACACATGATAGTGGAAACAGCAACACAACTTACGGATGAGGTCGTATAGACACGTGTTTGATGTGATGCCGTGAGCATCGAGATGATTACGGCCAACGGACCGGACTGCGCGGATCGAATGCGTTCATGCAGCAAATGAAGACGGACCGCTCGGACTGAGCAGCATCGATGGAGCGAAGGAAGACTGGAAGACTGGAAGACTGGAGGACTGGAAGACGCCGGCAGACAAGGTGCTAGGCAGAATAGATGGAACATGTGGAACTGGAGATGTATGTGTCCTGCAGCAATTTGCTATTGCTGTTGAGGACACGCACTGAGTGGGCATCCAGCCATAGACCCAGCCCAAGAGTGTAGACGAATGCGGTTTGGGATGCAACTGATTGCCGGTCGCACGTAGGTCTGCAAGAGCTCACCCTCACCTTTAAAAGGTTCAGGAAGAAAGACATAGACAGGACGCCATTAGAAGAACGACCAAATCGAATGAAATCACGAAGCATAAGTAATACTTTATTACCCTTTGAATCTCCTCAATAGCCTGCAGCCTTTCAAGACACTCTACCCAGCCTTCCAGGCGCAATATACCATATCTTGATCATCTTCAACGCGTTCTGCGTCCGTCACTTTCGCCTTGGCATCTCTTGCGCCCCAGCAACTTCCTTCACAGCACCCATGTCAATCTTCCGCCAAAACACAAAAGCGTGCTTCCGCTGAAAAGTTGACCCTTTAGAAGCGCGAAAAAAAAGTCTCATGCGTCGGCAAAATCCGCAAACACATCTTACTAGCTTTTCCCCTTCTTCGATGGTGTTTGGTATTCGACGTGGGAGGGATGATGCAGTTGCGGATGAGCGGAGGATGGGGGGGTCGGAGGCCTACACGTCATTGTCAAACGCAGACGCAACGCGAATAACTCTGCGCATACCTGCAGGTTGTACTACCTGCTGCTGTGTATTCTCACTATTCCAGGGGAGGCAGGCGAAGTCTAGGGGTTGCAAAAGAATTCTCATTGCCGTATCGCAATAACAGCGGAAGAGAATATACCCATTTCCTTAAACTAATAAACTCCTCCGGGTATATCATCAGCATCAAAACATCTCACTCATGCCGCTTTCGCCCAACCCCCCTCCCTCCTCCCCACCTACTTCTCTTCTCCCACCCTTCCCGCGAAACGTATCATCCAACCCCTGCTCCTCCTCCCTGTCCCTATCCAACTCCACCCCTCCGCTCAAACGCGGCGCCTCCCTCCTGCCCGTCAATATCTCGAACAAGCTATCGTCGCTCTCCTCGCCCTGTTCTCGCTCGAAGCGCAAAATCTTGTCCTTGCCGGCGGGCCAGACGAGGATGTAGGCGTGTTGGTGTGCGAGGAGGAAGAGTGGTTTCTTATCTTCTTTTGATGAGGAGGGGGATGGGGAAGGGAGCCACGAGACGTGCCAGCGTGCAGGCACCGAAGTCGCAGGTTTAGCGATATGTGCTTCAAAGTCGAGAATTGCTGGCGGCTGATTCGATGAAGAAGAAGAAGAAGAAGAGGAGGAGGAGGTATACATGTATACCGCTGGCGCGTCGTGGATTGTTTGAATGAGCAAGCGCTCCGGATCACTCGGATGCCACAGCAGCGCTTTAATCGGGGAATATTGAATGACAATCATCCGTGGTTTTAAACTGCGCAAGTCCCATATCCACACCGTGCTGGGCGATGCATCATCTCTCGTTGCGCACAGCGTAGCGTCGGCGTTGAACATCAACAAGCTGATGCCTTGCTTCATCAACGCCGATTCGTTCTTCTCGAGAGGGGGTTTGGGCGGCGTGGCGGGTTGTGGGGTGGGCATGTAGCTTCTATTTCCCTGACCGTCGATATGTTCGGTGTACACGGGGGCGTCGGGGACGTGTATTACCGGCGTGTGGTCGAGAAACACTACGGGCGCAAAAGTGCGGGTGGACAGGATGCGGACGCGTCGGTCCCAGCCGCCGACGGCGAGTTTCTCGTTGCCGGGGAGCCATTCCACGGATCTGATACCGAGGCCTTCTATGCCCCAGGCGTCGAGGTCGTCGGAGGGTTCGCGGGTTATGGTGCGGTAGAGGTTACCGTCTGCGGTGTAGATATGCAGATGGTAGCCGGTGGATGCGGCGTCCCAGACTGCGAGCCAACGGCCATCGCGGCTCCATTTGAGGTTGGCTGCGTCGAGTGTGGGGAGCTCGACGCGCGAGAGGATGGTGTATGTCTGTGCAGAGAGAAGGAGAAGGACATCAACTCCAGAGGTGCGACATAGCAGCGCCATGACCTGCCCTCTGCCATGTTTTGAGGACCCAGACGGTCGATATGCCCAGCCTCTGTTCTCTTTCCCTGGGAACTTTGGATCTCGTATCTCGACCGCGCGTCCAGTCCTCAAGCACCAGACTTTCAAGCACGCCGCAAAGTCGCTCCATACAAGCACCTCATCCGCTGTCGCCCCAAACTCGACATGTACGTTCTTTCCCATACCGCCTGAGCCATTACTTATTACCGCGCTCCACTTGTCGTCTCGCAGGTCGTATATGCGCGTGGTTTCATCGTCGAAAATAAGTATGCGATCCGAGCGCAATGCGTGCGAGCGGCGCGGAGGCGTTGATTCGTCGTTGTCGTGTGCGTTGAGCGCACTGGACTGTGGAGACCATGCGAGGCGAGAATTACGTATGTCATGACTGTTGGGTATCGATATGCTTCGTATGATCTCGAATGTGGTTAGACATCGTATCTGGAGGCGTGCGCCAGAGAGACAGGCGATGTGTGATGCGGTCGGCGAGGGAACGGAAAGTGCTGTCGCTGGGACTTGTCAGTGAAGTAGTCGATGTTGTATTAGGCATACATACACTTATATAACGGCGACACATCTGCATTCTCCATCTTATTGCACTCCTTCGGAAGTGGTTGCGGGGCTTAAGCGGTGGTGTTGTGGGAGCGTAAACAACGCGGAGTTGGGGCGGTCTGACCAATGACATCGCACGCAGCTCCGAGAAGAGCGAAGACCGTGAAAGCCTCAGGCGCAATTTCACATGTCAAGTATAGCACTTGAACTTCTAGGATCATCCAAGAATTGAATTTCATTATCTAACCGTAGAAACAGCGAGGGTATCGGTATGCACAACAAACGCTTCACTCTCAAAACCCCAAGGGGTATACACATTTTCAAGGCTTCCTAAACCGCAGCCTGTATCCAGGTGGTATATCCAGAAGCTGTAGACCAGGATCGTTTAACCATCGCTCGCTCGTAAATCGCTCATATCCAATTCATCAAGTGTCGTTAACACGCTTAGGTGCTGTACACGGGCGCCTTCATCAAAATGCTCTTACCGCGAATTTGCACTGCGAAACCAACTGCCATGCGCACGCGCTGAGCTGGAACTTCGTCTTTAGGCCCATGCGAGCTGCCAGGTGGATTTGGCGTCAGGCTTTGCTGGCTACCACCGGCACCGAGCGTAGACTCGCGCTTGCCCAGTGATGCAGGCGCCGTCGTGGGCTTCTTCGATCCTCCGCCAAAGCCAAACACGCCACGCTTCTTCTCTTCTTTGGGCGCAGCCTGAGCTGCCAACTGTTCTTGCTCGGCGATGGAGGCGTTGTCGATATCTGATCGAGCGTTGCTCCTGACGGAGGCTCGGTCCGCCTCGTCGACTTCTAATATCGGTGCAGTCAGAGCTGGAATGCCGCTTTCCAGCTTCATGAATTCAGGCACGATGCCGTGTCCGGGCGGGAAGTACTCAATGTGCACCTCTCTGCTCTCCAATGGCAGATGCTGTGCGACGCTAATAGCTAATTCGATAATCATGGGTACGCCGCCGTTGAGGTCTGCCGGCGCAGGGTCGTTCATGTGCATCTGGAGCGATGCAATGAGCTTCTCGTTCAGTGTGTCAATTAGCTCCTGGCGGTACTTCGCAGCCTGAGGTGCTCTGAGTGTTTCTGCGAGACCCTCTAATGTCGCCAACCGCCAATTGATGATCTTCGCCGCAAGCGAGTCTTCATCCTCTGGGCTGTGGGAAGGCGGCGAGAACTTCCGTATATTTGAGACAATCATCTGCAGCTGCGTCGAAAACCCAGGTTCCAGATCGGGATGGAAATACTTTTCGAAAATATTTTCTACCAGCCAATTTGAGATGAAGGCACGGCCAACCGCAGTCATTTCTTGTTTGCCAGTCTCTACTGCTGTCTTGTTCACAACGGGGTGCAGAAACTGTGGTATCGCCTTCCAGTCTTTGCGGACTGAAAACGACAGCTGCGCTATCAGTCCGTCCAGCCGGTTGAAACGGGTCCCGTATTCGCTGTCGTCCCATGATGTCCGCGATAGTGATAGGCGCTGGTTTGCAAGAGTATTCTGGAGCTGGTGCACTTGTGTCTGTTGTTCAAAAAAGTATCGCTTTACCTTTTGGTATTTTTCACCTGGGAATGTCAGATTTACTTCAATCAACTTGTTTATGATGTACTCACGCAACACCTCATGTTCCTTCATGATCTTCTCAAACTCCTCCTCCGACATGTCTGCCACTGACGGCCGCGGCGGAGGTGTCGCCCGGCCCATCTCTCCTCCCTGTTGTGCTTGTCCCTTTTCGCCGCGATAAGGCTGACCTTGCGAAGCTGTTGGAACGACGTTAGCGTCGAATATTGCTAGTCCCGGCGATACAGCCGGTTGTCCAAGAGGCTGACCTTGACCTGAGGGTTGTTGCAGGAGAGAAGCTTCGCGAGACGGTGGTCCCGGCTGTTGGCCATCGACGACCTTCCGCAGCGTGTTCCTGCCGCTGTTCGCGCTCGGCGGCATGCTGTCCTGCGACTTTCGTGGGGGCGTCGTGTTCGCTAGCGAAGGATCAGACGAGTGCGTCGTATGCTGTTGTCCTGACTGGGCGTCGTATGGGGTGTAAGGCGGATTCTGGAGAGGTGACGGAGGACCAAGCTGGTGCGAGGAGGGGGGTCGAAGCTGCTGTGACTGCTGCGCGTCAATCTGCTGGTTCTGTACGAGCTGAAGAGGGGCACGGATAGCCTGAGGGTGCTGCAGCTCAGGAGGCTGCTGGGCTGATGTTCGGCCGATTTGGTGTTGCAGTTCCTGGGTGGGGTGCGGCTGAGGCTGAGACGGCGGCGCGAAATGTTGCTGCTGGTAGTGTGCACCCTGCTGAGGATGGTCCTGCGGCGAGTGTCCCTGCGCTTGCTGAGGACTCTGCTCCTGCTGCTGATAGTAGACCTGCTGCTGTTGTGGTGCACTGTTGGAAGCTTGACCATGCGCCTGGGCGTTCACCAGTAGCGGGCTTGGCGAGTTTTGGGGGTTGAAGGCCTGATATTCGTTGGGATTCTGAGACGTCTGCACGGCGGGCTGGTAGCTCTGGTACTGTTGTTGCTGCTGCTGCTGGCCTGGCTGTTGTTGTGGCTGCAATCCTTGTCCCTGGTGGTGGTCGGGGCTGTATTGCGATACCCCGCCTTGGGTGCGATAGCTCCCCTCAGTGCTCACCCTGTCGAGTGGGGGCCGATACTGTTGCTGCTGAGGGTTGGCGACGAACTGCTGCTGCTGTTGCGGGTGTTGCAAGTGCTGCGGATAGTCCTTGGGCGGTACTTCCGGGTGGTCGTCCTGCTGCAGGAACGGGTCGAGGTTGTCCTCGTCCTGCTCGGTGGAGGAGAGCAGATGCGAGCTGGAGCCCTGGTGCCAGTGCTGTTGCGCCTGGAGACGCTGGTTCTCCTGGGCCTGCTGCTCTGCAAGCCTGGGGTCACTCTTCCGGACAGACTGGCGGCGTCCGACTCCGTTCTTGCCGGCCTGTTTCGAAGCGTCGTCGTCCTTGTTGTGGCCTGACAGTCCGGCGGCGATGCGGCTGCGCAACGACTTCTTCTGCTCCTGGACCACGGGCGGGGGTGATTGAGGCTGGTAGGCGCTCTGGCGGGTCTGGTCGAGCGCCGGCGACAGCTGAGGGGGGCCTGGCTGCTGCTGCTGCTGCTGCTGCTGCTGCTGCTGGTAGCTCTGGGCGGCCTGGTCGAGATGCGCACTCAGGCGGTTGACGCTGGTGGTGCGCGTGGGGAACGGCTGCTGGTACTGCGCCTGGGACACGCCCTGGGGCAGCTGCTGCGAATGACGCTGGCCCTGTGGAACGCTCTGCTGGCTCTCTACGGGCTGGTATCGCTGCGCGCCGTCGTTGTTTACTGCCAGCGCTTGTTGGTCAGCCGCAGGCGCACCTCGATTGGATGCACGCCCTCACTCACCAGACGGATTCGGCGACAGCTGGCCGGGAGTCGTGTCGGCGGACGGGTGCGAGCGATTCGACTTCTTGGAGAATATCGAAGGCATCGCAGGGTCGGTCGGGCGTGGAGCTGCAGGATGGAGAGGGCGGGGCGGAGACAGCGCTGCAATGAGGGCCAGCTAAGAATAACGACAGCGACAGAGACCGCGACCGCGACCAACAGATGACCTCAAGTGGCCTACCGTGCGCCGTGCTGTGCTCAATCTCAATTGCAAAAGGCGCGTCTACCCGTGTTAGACGGCATTGCGCATCGTCGGACACGCCTGCCTCAAGTAACAGCCCACCGTCTACTTTTGCGCTTCCCCCATCAGTCCAGCCGCACGTGCAGGGGAGCTGAACCTCGAGCAGCCTGCGAGCTAGACGACCTCGACTGCAGCAGGACACCGGAAGGAGTTGCTGATATCAAGCGGCGGTGGCAGTGCCCTGCGCGTACCTGGATTGGTAGCACATGCTCTGCAGCTTATTACTACACTACTACACCACACCTCCAGTTGCATCAACTCTCATTTGATCGCCTTGCTCAGCACATTGCACCCCGGCACACAAGCCATTGATTGTTTGCCAGATACGAGATCCCGCCCGTCTGTTGTACGAGACTACAAGTCGCCGCTCGCAACAATAAGGCCCGGGGTGGAGTCCTTTACTAGCGTAACCACGCCGTGTTGGCAGCCTCGCCGTCTTGATAATGTCCGACACGACTTTGATTACAGCTTGTGGGACAGCATGAAGGTCATGGTTGATCAACGGAGATATTACGGTGCATATATGCACCCAACCAGCCCATGAACACCACAATTCCAACATCCCCCAAGTCTACCGCCATCCCAGCCTCGCCCTCCGAATACGAACCCGCAGGCACCCGCCGAACGCACACAACCCTTTCTGTCCGTCTCGGCCTCTGATGCTGACCTCTAGCTCGTCATATGCAGCTGTTTCTATTCCTGGACGCCTGACAGCTAGCCTAAACTAGCGTAGCCGCATGTCGCTCTCGGTGACTATCTTTTGCCGTTCGACCACCACAAGGCTGGACTTCACTGCCGGCTCAGCTAGGGCTGCAGATGGCTTCGGCTAGTTCGAACATGGTGCATCGGACTGAAGAGGGAGGAACACGGCCCCCAAAGAGCAAATTTATGCATGTCTACTTAAGGTGTTGACAGGCTGGCGGCAGATGCATGTCAGATCAGACCTGCGTATCGATGCTGTGTATGAGTCGATTTCAGGACCCAATGAAGGGTTGCACTGACTGGCACCTAACGTGATAAGAAGGACTTTAATATGCTTAGTCAGGAAGTTATCGAGTCTAATGCTTCGACTCTGTCCATAAATGCTATCCGTAGGTCTCAAAGAGTTGAATGTCCCTCGCATCGAGCGCATAAATGCTCCAAGTCGTCTAAGACGCGATGTATAGGTACCCGGGTACAGAGGGACTACCAGATTTTGCACGCAACTATGCGACAACCCGGAGTTCTACAATGCACGATCAAATGCTAATAATGAGTAGTACAGTATCGCCTGATTAGCTCCAAGAATTTAGGATTCTACGCTACCCGCGTTAGGACTCTGTAAGGTACTCTAGGCTGACTGTTTACTGATCACGAAACATTGCTAGGTCTGGTTACTTCGCCGTGTCTTACTCGCCCCGCCTGCGCTCACCTTTCCACATTTATTTCCAAAGAGTCTATTTGCAAGATTCATCATCCTTCTACGCCAAAAAATGTGCCTATGGTGAAGTAAGTCCAGCGCAAAGCGCTCTTAGTAATGCCCTTCTTAGTACAGCAACATGTGTTCATAAGGCCCCGGAACAGGTTTCCTCAACGTGCGAAAAACCTACGTTGTATGTTTGAGAAGTTGAGTACTAAAACAAGTGAGGTTGCAGAGGCCTGCGGACATTTCGCGAGTACAGTTTTCCACGACCGTAATGTGAGATGCTCTCAACTATGACAGAAAGCGACGTGCTACATGTAGCGGCTCATCGTTTACTCTGAAGCTATACGCAGGAATTTGCTGGTGCAACTGAAATCTAATGATATTCTTTGTAGCTTCGGAGTACCATATGCCCCTGTTCACTTTCTGCTGCAGTTCAGACATCTTCTTACTTTCGACGATATCGCCCGTGCTTATGTCGAGGTTTCGCTCCAGCTTCTTCTTGTACATCCGTCGCGTACCGCATACAATCTCTTGCGACTTAGTCGCGATTTTGTCTTCAGATAAAGTATCCAGTTCAGTGCACATATTTGGCTATGTTATCGAGTTGTCGCTGTACCCTGTCCGGAGGCTCTGCCTTTTTATCTGCGGCTGTAACAGAAGAGCCGCAACATCGGGGCTGAGCCTTGTCAACTCAGGACGACCTGTTCCCACCTGCCTGGATAGTCTCGACCGCCAAACGCTGCGTGTCATATCACTTCTCAAGTCCAAACTGTGCCAGAAGGTTTCGATAGCTTTCTTACGCAGCTATATGCAGAAAACATACAGCGCGAACGAATATAAGCGAAGCGATCACATCAGCATGTATTGCAGTTATTCTTGGGCGCTATGTTTAAGTCTTGAGCACCATTGCTCAATATCAAGGTTGTATAATCTCAAAGCTATCCTGACACTTTACCGTATGCTAATCATGTACTGAGTCTATCCAGGGTCGCGTAGAACATGATGGCTATTCATTGATAGTGTTCCGAGGTTCAGCAGGGCGCACACGGATTACTTAGCTACATATGTTCGAAAGCTCCCGGAACACGGTTCATTCACGTGCAAGACGCCTGGACTTCTTCTCTGTTCCTTCTGTTGCCTTGCTTTGCGTGACCTGGCACCAGTCCAGTTGGGGATGCAGGTGCTCACTCCCATGACATATGTCGGGGTAAGATCGAATGTCTTCTCGCAAGTTGCGGCGACCAAACGAGTGTTGGCGATATCCCAACTTTGAAACCGCGAGCATGCTTCCAACGGAGGCTCAGCAGAGTCACCTGAATAGGATCGTGGCATCGCCGTGATCAAGGAATTCAGCAACGGCGATTGAGCTCCCTCTATTGTGAGCCATAGCACGAGATTCCCGAGGCAGATGAACAGGTGTTGCATAGATCTTGACGTTGCTCACTCACCCTTGGTATACTTGCACGGTCTTCGAGCTGATGAACAGGGCGACGCATACCGTGCTTCATTGTCAAAGGTGACGCGATATACCAGTTTCTGACTTGATCTCGGCGCAGCTCGTCTCATCGGATTCAAGTCGTCCGACTCTCCGTCACCACGAAGGATTCGCTCATCGGCGCGGCGCATGAAGATGTCGAGATCGAAGACATGGTTCCTGGCGACGATCTTTGAATAGGCATCACCCATCGATAGGTCAAATGGATCCCGAAACAGAGCATAGTTCTTGATCGCGCTGTTGTACATAGGCTGAAAACCAACAATCATCAGATTGTCGTTCTCATGACCGCTAAGTTTGACTGCATAGATTCGCATGATGTCCACAAGATTCTCCGTTCCGTTCGGTTGTCTTTTGCAGCTGATGACTGTCCTGAGCTTTACTTTCTGCGGCCTCGTCTTTACCTTGTCCTTCAACTAGGTGTTCATCTCCAGCTACGTTGATGGTCAACCGTTTGCAAAATCGTCACTGTAAATAGCCTGGAGATCTCGTGTTCGCGTAGTAGGTGGCTATATTATCAAGGCAGAGACATTAGGATGAGCGATAGTCAGCTCCGGAATCAATTGTTAGAGTTATGTTGTCGTCGTCGCTGCCAATGCAGATGCATCACGCAGCTGCTCAATGCTGAAAGGGGTATTGGGCATTCGTAAGACCTCACTCAGTATTATCGCAGTCGGTCTTGCTGTTGCTATGGGTTTGGCTTCCTGATCTGTGATAAACTCATCGTCTGTCTCATCTGCGCCTCATCGATGCTGAACAGGCTAGGTTGATGCTGATCGCCAGAGGTTCCGGCATCAGAGCCTGCTTCGTCATCGCTTCTTTTGATGCGATACTGTTGATCGCCATCGCTGGGGTCACTGAACACCTCTTTCCTTTGTTAGCATCGTCGCAAGATGGACTGCACCGCGAACATATCGACAAACAAGACAACCATTTTGACACTTTTAAAAGACCCTCTTTATGAATGAATTCAGCCGAAGGGCAGATCCAGATCATGGAAGAACATCGACGTAGATGCCGTGGAGGCGCTATACAAGACGGCCCTGATCAACGCCCGCAATACACTTGCCTGCTTCAACAGACGAGCGGCTAAACTTCGATCTGGGGGTTGAATTGTCTTGTATCAGACACTATGCTGCTAGGACGATGCGCAGATTGCCGAAGGCAAAGCTGAGAGTCATCGGCGAACAGTCAACCTGGAGGGCTTTAACGAATCTTGACGGGAGCGATGGAGAATTATAAACCCTTGAAGCTAATCAGGCGAAACAATACTACCTGAGATTAGCACTTAATAATATATCAAAGGACTTTAGGTTGTTGCATCGTCTTATGGTAATCCCGGGGCGAGCGTGGGTTGTTTCTAAGCCTCGTGAGGTTACGACCCGGGGAATGCGGATGTACGACGCCAAAGCAGAGTTTCGCGACGCCACTAATATAGTATCTATAGCTATGTACATCTCAAGCGAGGTTCAATTGACATGTATTCAAACATGAGATCTTGGGTGACTTGAAGAGCTCATGCGCTCGACGCAAGATACACTAATCCCTTTGAGACCTGTAACGAAGCAGAAGGTCACAGTAGAGACCCGATGATCGCCATACTGTCGAAGGCACGATCAAACGGTGTATGACTGTGAAGTGCTGATAAATTACTGCGTCTCGATCACTGACTTAATGAGAGCGGTCATTGAATGTGGAGAGCGTTTGGTCGTGCTGTATACTATAAGTAGACTGACTTTTATTCTGACTGGAGTGTTCATCCCGATACTGTTTATCCTATTCACCTTGCCTCATCGATGCTGTTCATCCTGTCTCATCAATCTCAGTTCGATCCACCATCCATCTAGTTCTCCAGTATAACCAGGGTCTGGGAAGCGAGGGTGTTGGCCGAAGATGAACCTACTCAGCTCATCCAGGCGCTGTGGTGTTGGGAGGTCGTTTCGATCGATCAGTTCGGCATCGGCGTCTCATAAGGTGAGGACGGCGGCTTCATCCTTTGGTCGCTTCGACAGTTTGGATAGGGTATTCGCTGTTAGGGGCCTCAGGTCGACAGTGTTTTATGTGTATGGTCCGCTAAACACGACCGATGAGACTACAGAATTCCTGAAGGCGCAAGAGGTTGTAGATCCGCAAGGTATTGTATAAGAAGTAGTATTAATAGTCTAAACAGCAGTAAATAGAATTCTCTTAGGCAGGCTGGGAGGCTACCTCTATTTGTTGTCCTTCAAGAATCCACATGTTAACTCCTTACAAGAGCCACGGCTTGCTATAAGATTGAACGATAAAATATTTGGCGCTTCTGAAGTCTGTTAGACTACGGCATCAGTGGCGATGCTAGGTCTCGAACATCTGTCTCTTCGCAACTGGACTGGTGGGCTTCGGACCTGATGGTGGCGCCGCCTGTAGTACACCCGGAAAAATGATGTGCCAATGTCTTGATACCTCCGCCTTCCTTACCTTGGTCTCTGGGCTCATCGGGGATCCGGCGTACCCAGGTTTCGAATTCATTGATTATCTCCGCAGTTGCTGGGGCTGTAGCTGTCGTATACGTGGATGGCTGGTCAAGCTGCATGTCGGGGTACAATAAGAGCCAGTTGTTCCGGATCGCAATGATCTTTTCCTCATCTTTCTCACCATGCTTTTTGATCTGGCTGATCCAAGGCACGAACTCGGCGATCTCGAACCACTTGATCGGCTGCCAATCACCTTCGATCAGTGCCTTCAGTCGCAGCTCGGCCTTGGTGATGAGACCATCTGCCCACACCTCGGCGCGCGTGCCGTCGTTGCTGCGCTTACCGTATCCGATAAGCATGAGGTTAAGGTTGCTCGCGCGCAAGCTGACAACGGCGGGGTTGTGGTGTGCGGTGAAGCGGCCGTTCATCACAGATGCTTGTGCTGAATCGTTGTTTTCCTCAGTTATAGCGGTGGTTGCAAGCGCGAGAGCGCAAATAAGTTGAAGTAGGTGGTGTGGAAAGTGTTGTTGTAGGAACGGTCAAAATCTGCGCGAGATTTCTTATATGCGCCAGCTTGGACAATCGGCTCAGGTGAGAGAGCGGCGCCCGCTACTTCACCGTAACTTCACCTTTACCTGTATCACGGCCGCTTGACCACCGCCCCACCTGGGCTGTCCATCACTACTTCAACGACGCTGCCCTCTCTTCTCTTTCTTCCACACCACACTTCTTCCCTACACCATCAGTGACTGCACGTTGTACAACCTACGATCGATTCCTCCCTTCAGTTTACGCCAACCGAAGCATCTCGGTAAGTGAGGCATCCCGCAACAGCTGCAGACTCTGACAGATCAGCCAGATGGCCGAGCCCGAGAGCGACGCTATCAGCCATGAGCCTGATGCAGTCGCAGCACCATCCCTCATCCCATCCAAGAGACCAGCGTCTGAAAATGGAGAGTCGACGAACGCAACGCCCAAGAAGCTCAAGGATGGCGCCGAAGCTATCAGTGTTAAAGATGCGGCTAAGAAGCTGTTCTTTCCCACCGAGGAGGAATTATCTGAACAGGAACTCAGCCAGCTAAGCAAGATCATATTTGGCGATTATCTAAAATTGTACAAGGTCCCATCAGCTTCGTTGACGGAAGACATCCGACAGTTCCGCCTCGTCAAAGGATCTCAGGTTCCGTTTAGACTAGTTTGCGGATTCCAGCTGTGGTTGCGCGAGACAGGCCAGCATGCGTCTCAAGCGGTTTTTTTCTCACGTCTATCGAAGAAACTTCGCAGGTTGCTTCGGGATGGCAGCGAAGAGGATGCCAGTCCGAACAACTCTAACATGGGTGCGATCAATCCCAAGAGGACTAGGCAGACGAGCAGAGACATCCATAAGTCTAATTTTGGGTACGTATGCTCCAACAACTGGATGGCCGGACTACTAACATCATAGGCTGCCGGATTGGGATCAACAACTCAAGCAGGATACCGCGGATATGTATGCGAGGGCGTATGCGCGAGACCGTGCAATCGAGAATGTCACCGACGTCATGAGTACGATCGAGGAATACGCCTCTATCTGCTCATACAATGGACTATGCCAGCTTGCGAAACTCTCTGGTGTTCGTTATCTTTGATCGGAACCTCGTCGATTCTATCACTAACAGCTGAGCAGCAACCTACTCGCCCACAGAGCATCCGGCATGCCCCTAAACCCGAGAATCTGAACGAAATTATAAGCTGCACGGCAGTAAAATATATACATGCGAACTTGACCTATCACAGCCTGTACGAAGTACTACAACTGGTTGACGACTTGAGTGTGATCGTTGCAGAAGGCTTGAACATGCTCCGCAGGATACGTCGTTTCAAAGAAGAGATCGAAGATATCGATGATCCCACCCTAATCGATCGGGAGGGAAGATATACCAGCATCAGCGTTTGGAACATACATTCTGGAAAGAGGGTTAAGGAAGTCGCAAAGAGCGTCGGTAGTGCTCTGAAAGAGTTGGTGCCTCGGATAAGAGATCTTCGCAAAGAATACCACATGTTGAAAACAGTGGACAAAGTAAGCTGGGATGCAGTCCATGGCCAGAGCGGATCTCGCGACGATCTCCTGAAAATGTGCATGCACAACTGGATTCTCTACAGGTTAAGGACGCCGCCAGCAGTAGTTGTAAGCAATGATTTTGCTGCAAGATGGAGATGCTGGAAGGCACTGGCACAGGTAGATGCCCTGGAGAGATTGATGTGGCACCGCGAAGACTTGCAGGCAGCACTTCAGGCGCTTGAGAAGGCCGTTGGCTGAGCGTCTGATCGCAACGACGAAGGCAAGTCTTGTGGATTCGCTTCCAAGGCATCGGAGAGGATGACAGCAACTACAAGGACCCTGATGGCGATTAGGAACTCGAACTCGAACATGCATGTTCTTGAAAGATATTGGGGTCAATTCTTTCTCCCATCGACCTCATTCCGTCAAAGCTATCCCGTCGAAAACCATCCTGTCGAAGCTATTCCCGTCAAGCTAATTCCATCGCGCGCTATTCATCGAACGCCTCCAACGAAACGGATCCTATCGAATGAGGTCCGCTGAACACTATGTACCAAACGGATCCTGTGGATCTCATACGAGCCGGCGTTGCAAAAGTTTGACGTTTTCCCGGTCTTATTGAGCGCGTGCCAATCGAGTTCATCGCACCGAGCGCATCCCATCCAGTTCCCATCGAGTTCATCACATCGAGCCTCTCGACTCAATTTCAGCCAGATTTACCAAAAGTTTAATATTTCCCTGACAACATTTAAGTATTTTACATACTTGCGTTCCTTTTTCCTTTCTCAGCGATAGGCACTAAGTAGACTGAAAAGGAGTTTATCACTAGTATTCTCCAATAATGATCTCTGAATATGATCAATATCATTCCTATAACATATGCCCGCGTGAGTCGATACTGTGAAGTCGTTCATCAATAACCTCTGCCTGCAGCGTTCGTCCACGCATCACTTCCCAACCGCTTCATCTCTTTTCCCCATCGGTTCTGCGTTAACCGCCTGCTCATGCTTCGTATCACTTCTCTGCTCAGCGTTGTACAGCTGAACTGTCAATGCCTTCTGCGGATGCGCGATGGCTGGTTTGCTGAGGAAGTTTTTAAGATTTGATGATAGAAGCTTAGATCTCGAGCCACTTGTTGGTTCTGGGATAGCATTCGGATTCTGTTTATCGGCCATGATCGCTGGGGATGTCAAATCTGAGCTGCGTCAGGACGTGAGATGATCGCGATAGGTGATGCTTCGTGATGGGTGATGCTTCGCGATGGGTGATGCTTTAGGACAGGTGATGCTTTATGATAGATAATGCTTCGCGATAGGTGACGTTTTCTGATAGGTGATGCTTTGCGATGGGTGATGCTTTGCGATAGGTGATGATGGCGACAGGTGACGATGGCGACAGGTGACGATGGCAATGGTGGTGGCGATAATGGTGGCAATGAGGAATGTTGATGAAGGATGGCGATGAGGGTGGTGATGATGGATGATGGCGGCGATGAAGATGAAGGTGTAGCTTTCCTGATTGAGTGATGCAAATGGTGCACGCAACGATCTTCTGAGCATGCGATAATTACGTTTTGTGTTCCAAATCACTTACGTATGCTGTTGAGCATCCCTGTTCTGCTGGGAAGCCGAGTCGGATAAGTCGGCATGACGCTACAACAACATTGCATTCAGGGCGTCTGAATACCGAATTGCTCGTCAGTAGATCCTGTGTATATACACGTAACCAGACATTATATCCTAGCTTGCTAAAAAGTTCGTGAAGATATCCAGGCTATTGCATGAAGTTGCGAAACTATCAAATTAAGGTATTTGTCGGGTCTACAGTGCTACTTCAACATTAATCGCTAAAGATTGTACCTGCCCTGGAAGACGATGAGCTCAATAGAGGCGTTGTCAAAATCGATAGATCTCTTGAGCTAAGCAGTGGGAGATGGCAACTCGTTCTCATGCCTCTTTAGACGCGTCGGATTCGATCATGATGGGATCAGTATTGCCATCAGAATTGTCATCAGGGTTGCCGGGCGACAACGTGGTAAGCCATCAGCATTACGCCGTGTCACTAGGAGGGATCAACGTTGATGCAAAGGTAAGGAGCTCATGAGTTTGTCTGTGCTGCGAAGCAGAGCAGTGATAGTAGATAGCGCCGCCGATCTAGCTTGTGTGATCGCATAAGCTGTCTACCTTCATCAACGTTTCGAAACACACAAAAAGGATATTCGTACATTGAGGACATACAGGATCTACTTTCGCGATACAGCAGCGTCTCACGAGCAGTATCGAACATGATCGTAGCGGACGCGATGCTTCCGCCATGCGACAAAAGACATACTGCGAATGGGATAAACATGAGCAGATGAAGAAGGCGCAGTCGGAAGTATTCTTCGATTATACCTGTCTAGCTATCTGAGCTACATACCCAATCTTCGATACAAGACATTATCCTTTCCTCCTTGCACTTGCCGTACACACCAAGCCCAGACCCTATCACATGTCTGCCGCCCCCTTAAGAGTCGTTCATCCACCCATCGAACACGTCCACCACAAGAAGATTAAAAAATATCCAAAATAATACAGTTTATACCATGCAAGGAGTGTACCAACCCATCCATCTAGTTTAACATCGTTGGTCGTGGGTCATTAAAAAAAGGCCTGTGTCGTTGAAGGAGAGGCGTGAAAATATACAGAGTAGAGGCTAGCGAGCTGCTTAGAACATGGCAGCGAAAGCCATGGCTCCAACGGCGAAAGCGACCATAGGGTTGTTGGCAACTGCGGCACCAGTGAACTGGGCGGGGGCAGAGGTGGTGGCTGTGGGAGGCTTGACCGGAGTTCCAGAGGCAACAGGTGCAGTGGGGTACGAAGGAGGAGCTGAAGCGGGCGGGGCCGGGACAGACGCGGGAGGTGCGGGAGGAGCTGAAGCTGGCGGGGCCGGGACAGACGCGGGAGGTGCGGGAGGAGCTGAAGCTGGCGGGGCCGGGACAGACGCGGGAGGTGCGGGAGGAGGAACCGCAGTGTAGGCCGGGGGCGCAGGCACCGAAGCAGGAGGAGGAGGAGCGGGCTTGCTCTCGACTGGTGCAGGGGTGGATGGCGATGGCAGAGGAACGGGAGTGTACGCAGGCGGTGCTGGGTGGGTCTCCTGGGCCGGGGGAGGGGGCACGCTGTAAGTCACGTTGTGCGCAGGAGGAGGAGGCGCTGGGACGGAAGCCGAAGGAAGGGGAACGGGAGTGTACGCAGGCGGTGCCGGGTGGCTCTCAGCGGGAGGAGCAGACGGCTTAGGCTTGTGGATAGTGCTGGTAACCGTGATGGTCTCCTCACCAGGGGCTGGAAGAAGGAGTAGGAGTCCAAACTGGGTAGCCCGGGGCGCTGGAAGAAGGAGTCCCAAACTGGGTAGCCGGGGGCGCTGGAAGAAGGAGTCCATACGGGGTAGTGAGGAGGAGCAGACGAGGAGTAAATGGGGTAGTGGGGAACCTCGCTGGATGGCGTGTAGATTGGGTAGGGAGGAGCCACGCTGCTCGGGGTGTAGACAGGGTACTCAGGCGCCTTTGAGCTTGGGGTGTGAACGGGGTACGATGGCACAGTGCTGGACTCCTCCTCAGGGCAGGGGGTGGATGTTGGGTACTCAGGGTACTCGACCTCGCTGGTGCTCACGGGGTAGGAAGGGTGTTCCGGAGTAGGAGTGTATGCGGGGTACGCAGGGTACTCGGGAGTCTATGCAATGTTAGTCTATCAATTCGGTGTAGGTGAGGGGAGCAACATACAGAGACTGGGTAGTCGTTGTGCTCGTAGTCACCGGCCATGGGCACGGCGGCAGCAGAAGCTGCAAGAGCGAGGGCGTAGACCTTCATCATATTGGCAACGAGAGTTGATGAGCGGTAGCGATGGAAGTTGTTGATATTAATGACCAAGTACGATCGAAGATGCAGTAGTAACCGTAGCGAGAGAGTTACTTCTGATGTTCAGCGATGGAGATGTACTGTGCGATGAGAAAAGCAAGAGGAGGTGAGGGCAAGGCGATATTAATACGCTCACTGTGGACATGCACCTGTCCCGCAACCAGCCTCCAGGCTTAGGTCGATCCATTGCATGGTCGGCAACGGCAAGGTTGCATACGCCAAGGGGAATCGACCAAAGACGTCCATCCAAGTCGGCGGTCACCCTCGGCGTCGTCCTCTATGTGGGTATTTCTCGTAAGAGTGGGTCGCACGTTCATGGATGGTTGAGGCTCGCTGGAAAAGGAAACCATAATGCAGGTCTAGTCTACATGCGATAGGCCAACCTCGTCCTAGAAGGGCCAAATTCGTCCTAGTGACGGGGAAACTGTTGGCTTGGAAGCCAATGGCCTGTCCGGATGTTCGCGGGCTGCATAAGGCTTGCTGGGATAGTGCGTGGTAAGCTGTTGTGTCAACACGAGAACCGGCCTGCTTGATGCATCCCAGCCTGCGTTGGATGAATAAGACAGCCTCTTGCAGCGTCCCCCAGCCAGCGAACCAAACTTTATCGTCTGGCATAGGCAACTGTTGGGACGAGCATCCAATGCGCCGCAATCTCAGTCTTTGAGATGAATGACTAACGCCCTTTTCTTCTGTGATAGTAAACAAGCTACCTAACAATAGACTTCTTCATCCGGCCACTTGTTGCATTTGCGCTTGGTGCAAAGCAGGTGCCCACCGAAAACTGAGGTGTATGATGCAATGTCACGATGAGTCGACCGAGCACGGTATGGCTTCGGCGTGATTCGTGCACGGGCCAAGACCACCTCGTGTACTGCCGTGTATGGCAGGACGGTTGCAAGTCTGCAAAGCTTACTGATGGTTATTTCTGTACGACCGTGTGCCGATCACGGGGAACACCTTGGGCACCATGGAGTGGCATGGACTCACTCGACTCCATCAGTGTCTTCGAGTGCCGCCGCATTCAGCATCGCCTGTCGCGAAGTCCGAGTGAAAATGCCGTTCGAGTTTTTCTCGGCCCCAAAGAAACGTTCTGTCTAGAAGCACGCGACCGACCTCCTGGAACGTGAGGTGAACCGGTAGGAAACCTCCCGAGGGCTGGTTCGGAGGCTTTTCCGTGCGTTGGTTGCTATCGCAATGGCGGGGGCGCCAGACGGTGCGAACTGCAGCCTCGAAGTGCCTTCTTTGACCGGCGTGAGCGGCCTCGGCAGTAAGCTCAAACTAAACCGATCTCCTGCAGGCATATTTATCGAAAGGCCAGGGTGCTCTGCGCCGTGCTGTCGAGCACAACCTGACGGTGGTGGGAAAGTTGGCGCATGGCGGCTGGGCTCGTGTCAACCGCTGGGAAACGTTCGCTTGCACACTCTCGCACAGTACCCCGCCATGTCTCATGACATGTCATGACAAGTTGCTTTCATCTGCAGTGTCGCGCTCTCTGTCATGTTTTCCCTCTCACAAGATCGTCATCTCGAAAAACTATTACAGCGCTTGGCTTTGTGCCTGCAGAAGCTGCCGAGAGCCGTCTCGAGGTAAGCGGATAGCGTCTTATCTCAGAGACGGTTTCCAGCGGGACGGAGCCTGCAGCAGTAAGATATCGACCGTCGCTGCTAGTGTTCGAATGGCTCCGCATGCGTCCGACGAATAACAGCAGTCCAGAGTCGGTACCTGAAAATTCGAATTCCCCTTGTGCCCTGCATAAAGTTTCTGTCGTCAGCAAGACAGCGATCCATTCCCCGCGCTGCAATCGTGCGGTGGGTGTACGGACCTGATCCGTTGAACAACGCAAAATATGCACCGCGTTGCCAGGCCGATCACCATTTCGCATCTTTGTGCTTCGTTTCAGATCATTGTTAGTATCTTGTTGAGCCACTATTTGCGCAATGTCGCCGTTCGCAATCCTGACTTTCATAGCGCAGCCATTGAACCATAAGCAAGCCATTTGGCGTCATCGCCAAAAAAGGCATGCCCAAGCTACAAGGCTACATAACAAACATTGTGCGCTCTCGAGTCCCGTAGAGGCCTGGGCGCCCCGCTGGGCCGCTGGGCCGCTGGGCAGACGACTAGAAGCACATGGAATCGGGAAATCTGGCTGGTGGATCTTTGCATCGTCATGCCGCTTCGAAATATTGGAGGCGCCGCATTGGTTTCTTCTGCTATCGATAGCGCCTTGTTGTGCATACGAGACTGGGGTATCGTAGATTGCGGTCAGCATCGCCAGCAAATGCCAGTCCTCGAGGTCCTCATCGCATCACATCGACTGTCGGTTCATGCAAATCTGGGTTCAGTTGGATGAAATTCCATTTGCGAAAGGAAGCGCTCCTGCTGCGAGAGCGCGACACAGGCTAGCGACAGGACGCCCTTTAGCCATCATCGTCGCTATCTGTGCCACTATCCCAGCCCTCATCGTATTCTTCTGCGAGAACTTGCAGTCCATTACAGAGTGCTTCTCTTTCCTCAATTCCCACCAGTCGCTTGACAATTTGCTCAACCGCGCGTATCTGTCCCGCAACCGCGGTGCTCGTGGTGAGTCCAGCATGGACAGCGAGCTTGGTCCCTAGTCCCGAACCAACATCGAATATAGATGTTGGATAGCTGTCAAGTAACGGGAAAAGTATCGGCGCGGTGTATCTGGACAAATTAATCTAAGTTAGCGCCTCGTACATGCAAGCAATAGCACGTGCGAGTGGTGCCACGCCACACTCGTATATGCCTCAGGTGGCATCGCTAGAAACCTGATTTGCGTCCGAGCTCTCGTACTCGGACAATCATCGAATCATGGAGGCTTGTGAAACTTACCTCTGCAATGTCGGTCCTTGATTGAACCTGTTGTGAGGGTCGCGCGCTTCGTTATCGTCCGTGAGATTCCAGTCGCCCCGAGAGACCTCCGCTCTGCCGAATACGTGTTCCTTCTTGCCAGACCTGGATACGGCCCGGTAGTCTCTCGTGAAGACGTCGATGTCGAAACTGCTAAGCTCTTCATCGTCTTCGCTTGTTCGTCGCGATGTCATTGACCCTGTCTTCTCGGCTTGTGCCATCTCCTTGGAATAGTTTTCTGAAAGCACCTCGGGGTCTGCGATGCTCATCTCAAATTTGCCTATCCGCCGCTTTCCGGTGCTGTTTATCGTATCTTCCAGGTCTTGAAGATTACCGCGACCACCAACGGATGTCCTCAGTCGGGAGGATATGGTCATGCTTTCTAGTCCAATAGCTTGCAAAGCCCCAACATGCCATAGTGAAGTGGCATCAAGCGATAGGTAAGATGGGGTCTTGGTCGGGCTGTTAGATATGGGGATGTATACCGACGACTGCTCGCCAAGTGTTTGCAGTGATTGAGAAGCGTTCACCATCTGTTGCAGTCTCCTCTCCTGCAGCATGTCAGCTTCGTGTTCTATGTAGACAACTTCCTTGACCTACTCTTCCAACTGCAGCGTTAGCACCCTGGTCACCCAAGCCCCAAGTCCATATGCTCATCTTCCCATACTCGTCTCGTAGCCTTTCTATCCATCCCGATGCCCAGCCGCCCCAGGCATCGTCGACGCCCGTAAAGATTTGCAGTCCCTGGATGCCATCACACTCCTCGACGAATGGGCGTAAGTCGCGATCGACTAGGTCGACTTCTCTTTCTAGCTTCTCAAACAATCCCTTGCCAACTTCCCACTTCTCAAAGGGCATGAGTGTGTCGTTGACATCAAATTCGGAGAGTTGAGCTATGGACTTGGGGTGGTAGAACACTCTGCTATAGTCCGACCAGTACCTGACAGAAGAGATATTCAGCGCTGGTGGATCCAACCCGTTATCAAGATGCTCCTGGTACGTCGAAGGTGGGATTGGTTGAGTGCGCTGGACGATAGGCTTTGAGGGCCAGACTCCAGGTTGGTCAAGTATGCTTCGGTCATCTTCGGGTTCATACAGTGCATTGATCTTCCTCATGCTCCCGAATGCGCCTTTCAGGTCGTATATCAACGCTCTCGGAGTGAACGTGTCTGATCCATCAGGGGCGATGCCAGGTCGAAAGAGGATGTCATGGTTGACGGGCGACTCAGCTTCTGGAGGATATGTGAAGTATGATTCCTGACCTCTAATCAGCCAAAGCGAGTACGAGAGACATCGAAAAGAACGGATAATTCAAAAATTGAGAGCGCAGTTGAATCTTGTAGGGTGAGGGACGCTATACGAGAGACAAGAGTATGACCAGGCTAGAGTACGCGGCCACCCCACACCAACGTCAGCACCAAATATGCAGCAGCATCCTTCGTAGTAGTGAATTTGGATGACGCAAAACTGCATTGGTGGGCTATGATCGAGATTGAGGCAGTGCAACTCACCTGTGTGTTCCAGAAATGCGTCCCAAGATAGTTGCTGCGCTCGCCGAATTGGAGGGTTACTATCTCACGCATCGTGCTTCTCAAGCGCTCGGCTACAGTACAACAACGCAAGTCGTGCTATTTTGCGAGTTATGTTCGAACGGGTGTGGAAACGTATTCGAAGGTGGATGGTGGGCGGACCAAAGCTTTTTGCCCCGCACGTAAGTGCGCGTTTGCGGGAAACTGCAATCACGTCGCGTCACGACTTACTAGGCACGATTCACTAGTTGATAAGAGTAGCTTACATTCTGCTACTTCATGTCATATTTTTACCTAAGTTAGACTTACCTAGTATCGGCATCGTATTCATGCGAGTACCGATATGCTCCTTGCAGTCCGCTTCGTAGTTTTCAGTGTACAGCGTTTTCCGTCACACAGAGACGGACTTTACTCGTTAATTTTTAGTGATGACATAGAACCATTCATCTGGTGATACCATAGAGGTGAGCAAAGCGTAGCCGTCGGCTATACAAACCAGCGGTTGATACACAATTCCTTGTATCTGGTGCGTCAACATTTCCGCAAGAGATGCCCCTGCGTCCCAGTCCTACGAAGCATCATGTGAGCTTATGATGGAATGAATAAACAATTGCGCTCACCTGTAACGCGGTGAACCAGGCCGTGGTACCGAACCCTATTGATAAACCGAACATATTCAAATTATAAAGCCACTGCGGCTGTAGCACCGTCGAAGACTTGATAAAGGACCAGGAAGCTAGATAGCTTTCACAAGCGTTAACTTTGCCTCTTCAAATCAAAGAGAGAACTTACTACAACGGCTGCACCGCCAGTGCAGCTGTACGCAGCAATGTAAAATACCCCCAGAGGTCACCCAGTCTACGGATACCTGTATACCATCGACGGCGCTGCCTCACAAAGTCTCCAATATTAGCCGGCGAGAGCTCTCTTGCAATGGCCGGAACGAAACCAAACGTGTATCCCATTTTCATTGCCTACCAATGAATTAAATCAATCGCATCTAGGTTCAGCGATTTTGTCAACGTACCTTGAGGCAAAACGCATAATCCTCTGTCAGACTGTCGTTATCCCATGTACAGGCATTCTCAACAGATCCACGGATGAGCAGAAATGAGCCTCGGATTCCGACCGCAGCTCTATTAAGCCAGCGGAGTCGCCATTGGACGTCACCGTAGTCCCCTTGAATACGATGCACATCGCCCACGCCTGTAAATACCGAAGACCAGTAGTCATTGCAGTTGAAGTGGATGACGCCCTTTCCCCAAATGTAAGTATCAATGGTATGTCCAGAAAGGAACCAACTTACCTGCCCCATGTCACAAGATTGCTTTGTTATGAAATCCAGACAGGTATTGATGCAATATTCGTCGACCAAAGTTTCCTCGTCCAAGTGGAGGACCCAATCATTTTCATCGAGATGCATGTTGATACGGAACCACTCAAGATTCCGAGCCTTATACTTAGCTTTAACAGGACGATAATCCGACGGGACTGCATGCACTGAGACATGCTTCTTGAACATGCCATCAAAGTTATGAGCGTTTGCTGCCTCCGTCAGTACATGGAGTGAAATGCGTTTATCTAACTTTTGATACATGTCCTGTATCGCGGTGATAGATCGTTTGACAACCTGAAAAAGAAGTCAGTTATGTAATCATATCTTCTAGACGCAGTGCTATCGTTACCTCTACCTGATCACCCCGGGTTACAAGACAGATTAGAAGTCGGTTGAAGGATCGTTTAACGGGCTGCTTTGATAGCTGAAACGGTCTTAGGGGAAAGCAATATGCAAGGAACGGTATGACAGTAGAGGGATTGGTTGGACCCAAAAGAACTGCATGATCAATAACATTAGAAAGCGTAACAATCACCACAATATAGAGCAATAGTAACCTACAAGTTAAAAGTAGAGAACTCCATGTAACATGTATTGTGTCATCGATAATGATGTAGCCACTTCTTTGCTCGTGCCCAAACCGGCGCAGCACTACATAAATTAGATGCATAACCCTTTTGATCCAGAGACACATACCATGATAAATACAGCCAACGATGATTGGTATAATAACCCAATTGTACTGCACCAACTGAAAGACTCGCTCCGATCTCTTTTGTTCCCACATTGATGCTCTTGTGTTGCAATTCGAGGGATCTGGTAGGGCTCAATAGCACGGTTGGAATATCCAGACAGAACAGAACAAACTGAATCCGAGAAAAATGTACGGTTAGGCACAGGTTGCTGCCTAGATACCTCTTATAAGTCTGTTGGACAGCGATAAGGCCAGCACCTAGATTCTGATTTAATTTACTATTCAAAAGAGCACTGGAGCAATGTAAATTAATAACCCTGCAACAGTATTACTGAAGAAAGGGAAAAGATGCTCGGCGTTTCTGTGGTCAAGTACCAAGCCGAAGAATCAGCTCTTCAGAGCTGCTTCTCAGATACAGGCTTTTGCTCAGACTCTGCTCTCGGGCCGCCGGAACTAGTTTCTACGCTAAGCTTCGTCTCATGTGTATATCCATGTTGACTGAATATCGCGCAAAATGCATCATCAGTGTCTTTAGATAAAATGATTACATGTTGTATGGTGTAACTCTGTATACGTTTTCTATCGCAGTTCTCGAATTCCCTCTGGCTTCTAGCTATTTTTCTTTGAGTCCACGCTACAGCTATGTCAGTTGGGTTTGTTTTCGCCAACCTGTGTTTGGTATTCGCGTCATACATATTGCTCAAATTCATGTCCCAAGCTTCCTGCGTTGGTGAACAGGTAGGTTTTAGTAGTATTTATACATTACAATCTGATTTCAAGCACAGGAGCTTCTGCGTACACATCGATACAGCGAGAGGGTGCTTTTTTGTACCCCTTTGAGGGATGCGGAAGCACACTTGCCTAGGTTTTTCTCGGGTCTCTACAATCTTTCCTATCCCCACGAACTTGTAGATATCGCATTTCTGGTTTCAGAGTCTAAAGACCAGACCACCTCGGCACTTGTCTCTCATATAGACACGCTTCAGAGAAGTGCCGACAAGAAGATGCCATACCACTCTGTGACCATCCTTTACAAAGACTTTCATCAAATCGTGGCCCAAGACGCAAGAAGTCGCCATGACTTCACGGCTCAACCGGAAAGGCGGAAGAGGCTAGCTAAAGCGAGAAATTGGCTTTGGTCAGCATCGCTACGCCCGCACCATTCATGGGTCTACTGGCAAGATGTAGACGTTGAGAAAGTCCCAGCAACGATCTTCGAAGATCTAATGAAACACGACAGCGATGTAGTTGTTCCAAGTACGTAACATGCTTAGCGATTCTAGGCACCGGGGCGTGATTAACACTGACGTTCGTAAGCAAAGGTGTGTGGATGACCCACCCAAAATTTGGCGATTTCCCGTACGACCTCAATTCTTGGATCGAGTCTGATCAAGGGAGAGCTGTTTCTGGAGCTTTGGCAGAAGATACAGTTATTGTCGAGGGATATCCCGAATTCGAAACTAATCGCACTTATCTCGCGCGCCTACGACGCGATGGGGGAGACCCCATGGAGCAAGTGGAAATTGATGCTGTTGGAGGAGTAAGCATACTTGCTAAGTCCGAGGTGTTTCGGGCAGGATGTCACTTCCCTGCTTTCAGCTTTCAAAATCAAGTTGAAACTGAGGCATTTGGCCAGGTATGTTTAGTTCAAGCTCAACTTCCGCAATTTCAATTTGACAATGAGCTCATTAAAATGACAATAGATGGCAAAGGCCATGGGCTTTCATGTCAGAGGACTACCCCATTACACTGTTTGGCATGCGTACGAGGAAGGGCTCTAGCAGATATTGCGAACCATACGTAACACCGACTCTTCTTACAAATATTTGCCCACGATCAAACTTAAGTGATGTAGAATTCTTCTACTGGGAACTTGTGCGGATGGCTCGGGACCCAGCTCGACATCCACTTATGAATTGAAAGAACATCTCCAATAAAGTGGAGATGCCTGTGCCAAGGTGCAGCGCTTGAAAAGGAGTTTACCGGTAGGATAAGCACATCAGCGAGGAGAACAGGCTCCGTGATGTTGGAAAGCTCATTTCCGTTCAACTTTAAGCCAGTTTGCTCATAAATGTAGTCAAACGCAGCACTCGTAAAGACGCGAGGCCCGGTGAGAGTGATAACGTCGTGGAAGTATAGCTGGGGAACTCCCTTCTCCAAATCGTGTGTTTGTAGGAACTGTGACATGTTTTCAATGACATGATCAACGGCTTTTCGGAGTATCGGATGGTTCGGTTTCGTCAGAATCGTGAATTGTGCAAATTGCACAGTCCAGGGCAGATCTTTCCATAACGGCAAGCCCACCCTCTTGTCTTGTTCAATTCCAACAACGATGTTAGTACGACCCCGAAACTTGGATGGCACCCATTCATCTATGGGTACCACGGGCTCTGTGTCTTTGTCCGTGTAAACTCCTCCTTCCTTAAGAAGCACCAAGTACCTGAGGAAATCAGACCGAACTATCCAGTCTTCTTGAATGAGCTTGTATGTTCTCCGAATAGCTTCGTCGTCGTCAAATTTTGTCTCGACATATCTGTCTCCTCTGGTCTTGTTCAAACTCTCGTATTGATAGCTTGGATTTAGCGACCGCCACTTTGATGAGAAGCGGTCCAGTTCCGCTATACTTTCGACATCGCCCTCAGGGTCATCGTTCCAGATCTGCCAAATCTTGGTGGGAACTTCTAAGGTCAGCCAAATCTTCTGCCAAAAGAAGTGCTCCTTACAATGTGAATTGTTTCTCTCCAGACGAAGATTTGAAGGCCATACAAAACTCGGAAGTTTGATGTCGCTCCAGTACATCGCCAGTGGCACACTAGCGAGCAGAATGATCCAGAAAGTACGCGAAGTCATAATGTAGCAGTTTTGCTCTCATGAAGCACAAAGAAAGCACTGATGCGTGTATATGAGTACAAAACTTGTGCACGGCAATTCAAATGCCTTGCTATCCTTAGATGGCCGCGTTGATATAGCAGATTGCCGAAGGCGCCTTTCTGACGAGATGTGTTTCGAATTCTGGGCTCGTAATATTAGCTGAGGCCGTCAAATTGTGTAAAGCACATACACGTAGCTTTTGTGGACGTACATGTTTTGCGAAGATCCTGGGTGTGAAGAACAACCCCGCAATCCAATTCGTGTTGTCTCAAGTCTTTCGATTCGCGGCGAGATGACGCGTAACCTGCATAAGTGATCAAGCTCGAATAGATAAACTCCCGCACCAGCCCTGTGTGCAATTGAGGCGTTGACTTATCTCATTTTCAAAATAAAGTTTAGTTTTGAATCAGCTCTTCAGATCTGATCTTGAACGCTTGGCACTTGGCACTGTTAGCAGTAGCTTTCGGGCCTGTTCGCTATAACTTGGGCTAATGAGAGCCTTGCAGATAAATAGCAGCTCGGTTTGATAGTCGTAATCTCACAGGTCATTGTTGAGACATTCAACCCTCTCCGCTATGTTGTGGACTGCTACGACGGGCATCCTTGCCTCTGCACTGTTGTACCATTGTTGGCACTTGCCTGAAGTATACAGGCTGGACAGAATTGCAATATCGGAACAAAATTGGAAAGGATCCGTATCCCGTCGTATGGAATACATGTCAGGGATGAAGAATGAGTCCCTAGTACTGTAGGTTGATCCGGTCAGCAAGTCATCGCCGCACTGTTGAGATGACAAACCAGATTTCCAAACCCCAAAGACGGTACCTGGAAGCAACGCCAACTCCCATACACTGCCTGGGACTTCTTCCCTCCTGCTTATGGCTGTCCGTTCGAGATGGAACGAGTCGGTAGCTTCGGAGACGGCGGTAAATGGATTTGCGGCATATCCCAATACGCAGCTTTCAAGGAGCGGCCGATTGTAGTGTACAGTTTTGGGGTCGATGAAGACTCGTCTTTCGAGGCGGAACTTGTCGATAGAACATCAGCCCATGTTTATGCCTTCGACTATTCAGTGGACAATATGGGTCCCGAAATCACAAATGGGTCCAAGGTGAACGTCAAGTTCAGCAAAATTGGTCTTGGTGGTTCTGATGAGACAGTCGATGGCAATCGATTCATGACGTTGCCATCCATCATGTCAGAACTAGGGCATGATTACGTTGACATACTAAAGATGGACGTCGAAGGCGCCGAATTCGATGCACTGGACGTCTTAATGGAGACATACAACGGATCTAGCCTGCCTTTTGGGCAGCTCATGATTGAGTTTCATCTTTGGGCTGCCCCTCAAAATATACGGGATTTAGTGGCATGGTGGGAGAGATTGGAAAGCTTTGGCCTCCGTCCCGTAGCGCAGGAGTCAAATCCTTTAGGCGTTATACTTGGACCTGGATACCCGTGCTGTTATGAGGTAAGAAACTGTCGAAAAAGTGAAAGAAGTATTCTCTAACGAGTAAAAGTATGTCCTTATCAATACTCGAGATAACAAGAGCATTTTGCAGTTATAGCAAAGAACACCAAAACCTCTACCAGTGCAAGCGAATTCCCAATGGTGTTTATGGCGCTAATACAGCGAAAGATGGTTGAAAAATTGGATTGAACTGCTATGTTACGGAAACGGTAGATTTGAAAGCTTTGTGGTACATTTGTGGATCTGGGACGCGGCTCCCGTTCCCTGCTAGCGTTCGACAGTTTGGATGGAACTATACCACTCAAAATCTCAAATTAGGCATTGAAGCCCACTTCGTCCCGGGACGAGTCGCTTCTTCCACCATCGAAATCATGGGTGAGGGGATGTGGCCGGCAGATGTATGACCGCCAGCACTGTCGATTCTTGTAATACTTGATGTACCAGCAGACCAGATGGCTTTGAGCATCTACTTATTGTGCAGCAAGGCCAGGAAGCGAGGTTGATCGTCCGCTTGCTATAAAGCTGTTCTCATTGTATTTGAGGTGCATCACGATTTCAATAGACAGAAGCAGCGGCGAAATAATGCGCCCGATACGGTGGACCACCGTGTCCACGGGTGGACCCACAATACGATGGTTCCGCGCGGTCCAGGGCTTACGGCTCTTCCCTCGGCCGCTAAGTTCATCTAGCATAGTATCGGTGATTTTATCATCCGATCGATCGCGAACCTCATGTTTGTTCCCAACTACGGTAACTTTGCAATTCAATGTAATTTCAAATACTAGATGTAGCCACTGTGTGGCCTTTGCACACAACATTCACATACAGCGTTGAAAACCGTCACTCACTACGATGGTTTTGCATAGATAAACACAAGCTGCAACGCTACCAGTTGGTAGGCCGTAATTTGACGCTTCGGAAGCCCAAGCTTGTCGGCCTTGTTTTGTTCTGTATCTTGACCATCTTTCCGTCGAATCGGATTGTCATCCACACTGCAGGACCGCGCGCCCTCGTGCTGCTCTGCCTGTGACGAGCTGGGGCGTCGCAGCACCTTCGAGATCTAATCTATTTCACATGGTTCGGCAGTGTTCGCAGCTAGCGTCCTGGGCAACGGTCGCGAAGTGCTCGAATCTTTGCTTGGCCTGCGCCGGCGCATATAACAAGAGCGATATGTTCACCGTCAAATGAGCGGCTCTATATCTACAGGGTAACCAAACGCCAACCCGCATCCTGGTAAGTTCTAGCCAGCATCAGTGTGTATCAACGTGTCAAGCTTTCGCGAACCGTACGAGAGAAGCACCGGTGAGACGGTGTAGACTTGGCAGTCAACGCTTTTCAGTTCCTGCGGTAACACCAAGAGTAATGTTAATTTCTTAAACGCATACCGAAGCCCAGATACAAATCTAGTACTCAGACAATGGGACATCGTTCCATGGTTGCATTGCGCTAGCCTTGTGGTTGTAAGTACGCGAGCTGTCCTACCAGTGCTTCTCTCGTATATTCTCTATGTTTTCCGAGGAAAAACGTGAGGTTAATAAACCCTACATAGACTCGGTTTATCGGAGCTCATGGATGGAGGCTGATCGACTACTCTAACTGGGGTGCATATTAAATCTTGAACACCCTGTATGATAAGACTATAGCTCCTCTTCTTCGAATTAAGGAACTCGTCCCGCAAATCCCCAGGCCAGCTCGGTGCCGCCGGGGGTGGGGTGGGTGGGGGGTCTAGTCGGATCTGGTCGGATCGGTTTAGTGCCGTAGCCGCAGCATAAATTCACCGAGGCAAAGCAAGGGCTATGGCAACCATACCTGAAGCCTAATTCGATCGACATTTGCGTACGCGGCGATACTAATCCTGAGAATAATCAATCGGCCCCTTGATGTAAGCGTCTAGGCATATACATATTAGCTCATGCTTACGACGATATCAACGCACGAGCGTAACACTTGCGGGATACCTTGCATACTCACATCACAAACACCGATTGTCCCAGAACAGCTTTTGTGGCTAATATCTGTGCATGAACTAGGTTCACATCTCCGCAAAGATCCGAGGCGAACTCACGATAAATGAAACACTTCTAGTCTACAAGGGTCAATAACGTACCCTATATACACGTAGTCGTCAAAATGACCAACTATCTTCGAAATGAAATGGCCAACGTCTTACTGAAGAAGTCCATCCAAAGAGTCTCCTTTTTGTCTCAATCTGTTATTGATTCAGAACATTTCTACGACCCTATCGATCTATTGGCTGATGCTGTCCGTATCTACGCATCAACACCCTTTAATGGCGCTCATGCCCTAACGGTCCAAATTACAGCTTTACCATTTTGCATCCCAAGCTATCGTGACCAGATTTTTTATTGCGTCGATGCATCCTACGCCAAATGCTGCCACGAAATAGAGAAGGAGGACTTTGTGCTGTTTCTGTACACATTGGCAGAGGAACTATATCTTCAATACATGAGTCATCATTCTTGGAACTTCAGAACCCAGCATTCTTGGTTAGTGCATCTTTCTGTTAATCTTTGCTTTGTTCAATTAACGGAGGCTCTATAGGCGGCAAATTCAGGTTCCTGAGCAGGTTCGACAGACACATTCTAGCTGTCTTGAGAGATCCTCTTTACTACTCAGACATCTGATTACCGAAGATGGTTTCCAGAACCTCACAGAGCAGCATCCAGTTCGCAACCAGGACGACGGCAGTATAGATCAGTATGCTATTTGCTTCCAGGATGAGACCAAGTCGAAGCTCAGCTTACACCAAGACTTCATCTCCAGTGCCACCTCACCACCATGTCCATGTTCAACCTCTACGCAAATCCAGAACGAGTATGCAGCGGTAACCATGAGCTACTCTGGTGGAACTCCAAAAGTCCAGCTCAAGAACGAAAATGCGATCCTGGAATTAGCCGACGAGTTTCTCCGAAACCTTTCAAGCACGAGTGTAGCCAGCGCTGCAACAGAGTTGGTCGGTTCTCTCTGCAAATCAGATGCTGTCTGCTACAATGGCAATGGACTTACACTGCGAGCATTTGAATGCTATGTCTCGATAGCTCGACAGTCAATGGCTCAGTTAAAACATTCCTGTTTCACACGGTATGTTTCATTATGCTTTTTCCTGATCTGGGAGAAATATGCCTGTAAAGCTGGGAAAGCGGGCGCGAGAGTGGTAAGTATTCATCCCCGACTTCCATATTCGTATACATATTCTGGAGACTAAACAATGCAGATCAATGAAAAGATGAGAGAAGCGGGGTTTTCAGGAAGCTCGAGGAATTTGAAAGCCTTGCGCGATGAGACAATATTCATCAACCAGCTTGTTGCTTCTGTAGAAAGCATGCATGGGATTGGAATCGCATCATTGGTTTTGTATCACATCTTCGGTAAGATTGTGGGATCTAGCAACACTGACATAAAACTAAAAGGGCACAGAATCATCAAACTACCACCGAATTCGACTCATGAATCGGTATGCTGAGACAAAGAAGAGGCTTGCCATCTGGCAAATTTGCGGAAATCTCAACTTGGATGTTCAACTTAAAACGGAATTGCCCGAGTTGCGGATACAAACGCTGATACTGGAATATATGCCAGATCTATGGTGAGGCTCTCTTTTCTTCAATATTAGCGATACATCATTAACAAATTATAGTGTCACTGAAATCAATACAGCAATCAGATATTCAGTCATAGACCCTATAAGTACGTCTAAGTCAGGGGTACAGTTATCAGATAATACAAGTGAAGTTTACTTCTGAGCAACTGTTGCACAATAGCTGGGTGACTAAAGCGTGTTGCTTTTCGGACAGTCGAACCGGGCATGTGCCTTGGTTGTTGTCCGATAAAGTTTGTTTTAATTTTTATCATCCCGTACTGATGGTTTAGCTGGTCAGGCTGCATCTCGTGCGCCTCTTTAATCCGCCATTAAGCATATACCTTGTATAAAGCAACGTGCACCACCTACACCTCTGCTTGTAAGATGGGGTCTGACCTGCGTGGGACATTCTGCAGCACATATTGGACTACTTCGGTAAGTTGACGAGGTTTCGAAACCTGCTGATATGCATCGGATTCGTGGGGTGTGGCTGTCCCGGAGTATCGAGTTTCAGTCAATATCCTCCTCATCCCATGAGCTGCAATTGATCCGTAGGTGGCCATCTTGTTTGCGCAAAGCTCAAGCATCGCTTGATACTCTGCAAGAACTTCCTCGTGATCTCATCGCTCATGATGTGCGCTGCGTTCTTGTCGCTCTCATGCAATTTCTCTCGTGCACTTCGCTCGTGTATACCCACCATGGTGACACCGATTGGCCAAGCAGCCTTGCCGATACTGAGTCTGAGGTACCCGTCGTTCGCGTCCACATAACGCCGTTCTTGCGCTGCAAGCACAATCTCCACTACAGGCTCCAAGATGCTATCAGGAAGCTCAAATTTTTCCATCTTCTTGAAGAGCGGACGCATGTTCTCGCGCGCTTGCACCATGGCGGCATATGCTTGCTGTCCCTGGTAGCTCTCTATAACGTCCCGGTCTCGACGAGCAAGCGTAACGTCCCACTCCTTCAAGACCATGGTGAAGTAGCTTGCCAGCTGTCTGAATAAGAACTCTCGTCCTTCCTTATCGGTAGGTATCTTAGGGTTGATCTTCATGTCTTTCTCTGGCACAAGTTGTAGGGTGGTGGGTATTGGTCCGTCGGTCGTGATTGCTGCCAGATTGTCCGCTCCGACACGCTTCTTGTACCGTCGCAAGCGTTGCTTATGTGTCTCGCCAAACAGTCGCGCTGGTTCCTGGAGAGCTCGCAGCTTTGCGACCAGGTCTTCGTCCTCAATATCCTCATCTTCTGGTACCGGTGTGCCGTCCTCCTCTCCTTCCTTCTTCCGTGGTGGCAGATCAGGCAGACCCAGCCGCTTTCTTCGCTTCCTTTCCTCGGCATCCTCTTCTTCCTCTCTCAAGCGCCTCGACTCCTCTGCTAACCGCCTCCGCTTCTCCCGTCGCTCTTCTTCTCGTTCTGCCTCATCTTCCTCAGCTTTACGTTTGCGCTCGAACTTCTCCCGCCGCGACCGCTCTGCCGCTTCCTGTTCGGCTTCGTAGGCAGCCTGTCTTTGCGCCTCGATCTCGCTGCGCTTGAGATACTTTTTGTCGTGCGAAGTTGGTGGCGTCGCAGCTTCCTTTCCCTTCTTGATTTGGGCGGACATGAGCTTTGCAAAGTCCATGGTGGCGAGCTGTTGCTTTGCTCGTGCTAATTGGACGGTGTTGAAGTAAGGAAGGAGAGTTGCGACGTCAAGATTGACTGTTCGGTGGATAAGTTTCGCCGAGGTGACAGTCGCGCTAGTGGGAGCTCTCCGCGTCTCGTCGCGTCAACCTGAGTTCCACCCACTTCAACTTTACTCACTTGCCAAGCTCCCAAGGACAAAGCGGAATACAGAGATCAAATTCTCTCGCCCACGCGATCACGATTAGACCCCTTACGCGACTGACCGGACTACTACGTTTGATCACTATGGCGGCTCACGCTGCCCACCAAAATCGACAGACAGACTACGACGCCATTCCTGTTGCGCTTGTTCTTCAAACAGGGTGCCTTTCACAGGTGAGACTCAGTAAACCGCGCGCATGTGGTGCGCATATGCTAAGAAATGTAATGTTAGACTAGACGAATTTGACCCATCACTTTCCCCGACCTCCCCACACACCTCCAAGATCTACACATGGCAGAGTTGTTTCCTTACGGGAACTATGCCAACTGCTGCTATCAGGCAATTCCTTCACAACTGCCACAACCATACACTGGATCGCGCATCGCTTTCCGACTCGTGTACCCTGACATACAAGGCTCAAATCGGCCCGGCGCACCGGGACGCTTCATTTCAAGAGATATCGGATCTGTCATCATAGGCGCAAGGACGAGGAACGATGATGCGGATATGGAGGCTGGATGACAGTGCAACCGTCGCAGAGGCGCTCAAACAGCTCGACGGCGACCCAGATCGAACTATGGGAGACGTGAAGTTTCTTATTGGGGACTACGTTGCTTGCGCTGTACTTCCTCCACTACCAGATAGCGGTGTACCAGCAGCACCTCCACCGGTCTCAGCGCCCGGCAGAGGAGGACCACCGACTGGACCGTACGGCAGTGGTAGAGGCAGAGAGAATGGCTTCAATGGGCGTGGCGACTTTGGATATGGTAGAGGAGGAAGAGGAGGAGGGAGTATTTGACGACCGAAGAGATGATCGAAGACTCAGTGGAGGTGTGCCATCGGGAGAATGGAGAAGAGGCGAAGCACCACCACGACCAGCGACCCTGGCTTCGGAAGGGGACGAGGGAGAGGTGACGGCGGTGACTGGCGGGGTCGGGGAAGAGGGAGGTGGTAGTCGTGTGCGTATTCTAATGCAACGGACCGTTCACACTGGTTCTGGATACCTTATAGTTGCTGTACAGTTTCTCAGACCGTTCTCCCAGCTGTGATCGCTGCAGCTGCGAAATGGTGCGATGCCTCGCATCTCTCGACTACCCGCATCGCGACTGTAGTTTCACTTTGACATATTCTTCAGGAAATTCGACACCTGCACCGTTCAAAAGGCCATGCCATCAAAGGCTCGCTGCAATGATTAGAGCTTCTGGCCCCTGTTCGATTGCTGGACTGCACAGTATCTTTCGTGATCCTAGCTGGCTCACACGTTCAAACTCGAGATCATTACTGCTTTTTTTGGATTTTCAAGCGGCGATACAGTTTCTCTTAGCCACCAGGCCGTCAGATTGGCAGTATTGAAGCAGCAGCGTTGGGTTCCGTACGATCTTAGAAGCTCCTCAGAAACGAACACACTTTACTCTTCTTCGTCCAGCAAGTGGCCTGTCCTGCTCTGCTTTCGCGCACAAGTCGATGCGCTTGAGCGAATACAGGGATCACTGAAATCGATTGGAGAGAAGATTGACGTGTGAGGTCGATACAAAACAGCTGTTTACTCAACCATATCATTGGGTTCAAGGCCAGGAAGCAGATCACCGGCATGCTCGCACATGTGGCTGCCATCAATCCATACTAGGTAAACCCGTCCAGCACCAGAATTACAATATGCTCCATAAGATGAAGCGACGCCCAAGTGACACCTCTCTACCTGATACAAACTCAGCCCAGTACCCCGCATGAGACAGAACAGAAAGCATGCCGAGAAGTTGTTGAGAAGGCTCAACTTCCCTGGTTTGCAGAACGTCGCCGCAGTGCGCAGCAAGAAAAGATGGCGCCAAGTACTTGGGTATTTGTGGAGACAAAGAGAGACCATCGCGAACATTTGCTGGACCACCTAGTCAAGCGCCGATGATGCACTGCTCTTGGGTTCTACGTCCTATCATTTCACAGTACTTGGTAATTGTTCTTTCACCTCGGCATGTTCCCGTGTTCCGGCATCCCGCTCGCGATTTAGCCGGGTGTATTCTTCCGACAAAGAATATGTCAGCGACAAGACAAGGTATGAAACCTTAACTTCAATACTACTTCTTGCCTCTTTGGAGTCTTTTCGCGAGATTGAGTTGACCGCTTCTATTTTCTGCCGTCGCTTATGCCTGCAATCGAAGCTCTTTACAATGAGTACTGCCCAAGAACGTTAATGAAGCGTTTGAACATGGATACCATATCCACTGTTGAACCTCAGCGTCGGTAGCAAAGGCGTTAGGCCATCCAATTGCAACAGTTGCACGATACAACATGCATTTCTTTCTCATTTTGGGCAGGTCGAGGTTATCGGCCAAGCCCGAGGTCGACGAACCACAGTCCAGTTCCAGCTTGACAGACAACAGGCAGTGATCGAGGCGTACGGGCGGAATCGGACATCGCCTGGAGCTACTACATGCTAGACATGAGTGTACTAGCAGCTTCCACAAGTCCCATTGAAGACTGATCGACACCTCTTAGTCGCCTTTTAGCGCTTAAATTACCCGACGTACAAGGCGTCCACATCCCCTACTTCCACCGAGGAGGCCACTTTCAATAGTCGGCACAACTAACAGCCCGTTTTACACAGCTTGCACCAACTATCGCATCTTTCGTTCGGGATGTACCTTGTTCCTCTGCGTCCCGTGAAGACGACTCATGTCTGATAGAGTGGGAGAGCGCCCACTTCACCATTTGCGCTAGCGAAGATCCCAAGAAAAAGATCTGGACGTTGATTTCGACTGGAACTGATATCTTCTGACGTCATCGAGTTTCCTGGCTACCATGACGTTGAAGTTTGAGCATGGATGTCCTCGGCCATACCTGCCATCTCGCATGGACACGTCGTGAAATCACCTGGGTACCGTACCCGCAAGTGCGGAACATCTCCACGTTTTGTCTTCCGTGCATCTATGGGACTAAAAGCGACCTATCACAGTGGTGTGAGGACAGGATATCGCACGTGACTTGAAGCTCATGCAGGTGACAACGCCTGCTCGTCACTTCTGAACTGTGCCACGTTAGTCCCCGCGATTTTTCGTCCGACATATACGTAGAGCATGACCGTCATTTGTCAGCTTTGAGAAACGTTCCATAAATCATACCACTGAGACCGTTCGATACAGGCTCGGCGCTTACGCTTCGAGAATCCTTGATAACGTCCAGGTTGGGACTCCTTCAGCACCCAATCGGGGAATAGGCTCGTCTGGCGCGCGCCTAGGTTGCAAGTCTATGCTTTGAGGCGTCTGTTCGAGGCGGTTCTTTATGGCAAATACTGCGATTGATCAGAATTGATATTCACTATCCAGGTCCGTAGGGCTCCCGCATCTGCATCGCTGTTCCTGTTCTGTAGACATACACAAAAGACTGGATCATAGACCCCACATGTTTTCGTGGGTTTTATTCCGCGGTGGCAGACGATGTAACGCATGTTGCTCCTGCTAGAAATGTGATCTTGACCTGGTTTTGGTCATTTACCAGGTTGTGCCACACAACAGAATTTATGACTGATGTGAGGAACGAAGCATGGCGGCACGAGGATCCTCACAACTAGGACAAAGGCCCTACAATAGCGCCAAATCCCAAGCGCGCCTCACGCATGGCATTATAGCCGCGCGATCCGAGAACTTCAAGTGCTGTGCCGCACGGCAACCCGAGTCGGATCTACACTCGTTCGTATCTGCGCACATTCCAAGTCATTCTTCGTTCGTCTGGAAAGTTGGCTGACTCTACACTTCAGTGAAAGCTTCGTGACTTTCACCATACAGTTCAAATGCTTTTCGACGTGTCATTTTCAGTCTAGCAGAAGGCAGCTGTCAGCACTTGTCGATTAACCTCATCATGTACTCATCGAGGCTCACATCTTGCGGCGCAATCAGCACTCAGGTCCTTCAACAGCCTCGCTAGTCAAAGACGCGAGATTACCAGTTCTTTGGGTCTTTAATTTGTTCGTTGACGTCGTCCTGCATCCTCGAACAGCGCCACTTTCTTCAAGGCTACCGCAGCAACGCAGACTACTGGTCGTATGTCGTTGCTTACAGCATGACAAGCGTTTCGTCTGGCCCAGCTTCTCTTCGCTGTGCTAAAATTGTACAAAGTAAGGCACAAAGACAACGTAGAGCCAACAGTGCTGCGCTGAAACATAGCAAATTCAATACTCCAAGGATAATTCGAGCACAGCCCTCATGCATAGCCAAAGTGCTGGCTTGACCCCTGCATCCTCGTGCGGTGGTGCAAATCGTGTGGCTGTCAAGCTCTACCACTTCTATCTTGGTTGCACACACGGCGTCCATGCTCCAGGGCTGCTTAGACGCTACCATGCTAGTGTGTATATCGCGTTTGTCAAGATCGCTCAGAGCTCCAGCCCACATCCTCTGCTAGTGTTGATACGTGTTGTTTCCTGCAGATCTGAGCCTACTCCGATGCAGCTCAACTTCTGCGCCCCACTTGTAGACCGTTGATCATGCGAAATCGGGGCATACCTGCATGAGCAGCCCTTGTCTGGCAGATTGTCGACGATGATCGAGATTCTAAAGCGATGAATCCTCTCGTTCGAATATTGGGAAGACGAGTATTCGATTGAACGATTATCGAAGCTCAAATTTGCTTCATAGAACGACTTGACGCTGCAGGGCAAGCACATCTCAAAAGAAGATACCTGTACACGTCTACTGATAGATCAGGATGTCTTACTTCTGCAGCCCTGGTTACAAGCTATGGGATAAAAATCAGACTAGGAAGAGACAAAGCCCATCCTAATCTCGTGTCACTACGCCGCAACCCCACATCCACTTCCACTTCCCGCTCTGTTCATTGTTCGCTGCGCTAAGAATGATCAGGCAGTGCAATTGAGGCAAAATAGCAGCTCAATTTGGGTGCGGCACAGAGTAGTTGGCCAGGTACCGGATAGCTGGTTCTGTGTCATTTTCGTGGCCGATTGCATCCTTTCACAGTGCGGCGCGATGCGACAGATGAGGTGCTCTCGCTACCGAGCCTCGTGTATTTAAGAGCAATCCCCCAGACTCCAGGTGTTAGCGTCAAACTTCGTCGACAACATCATCTTCCCTTGTGACCATAAATCTGTTCGCTATCAATTGCTATCTTTTCATATACGAACATAGTCTCGTCGACATCAACATGTAAGTACATATCTCTTCGACAGCCAGCCAGCACAAATGTTCACACTTTATCTAGCGTCAGCTCTTCGGATAGCCATGGTTTTACGTGGAGTTCCGCCATTCGGTTCGAGTTCATTCCACGATCAAACGATGCCTGTCGGGCCCCATCCTCCTGCCTCACAACTTGTTGACGACAATCATCAATACTCGTTCTACGAGACTTGTCCAGCGAGCCCGCCGGAGAGCTATGTTCAAACACAGGCTTCGACAGAAATTGTGTTCAGTCCTTGGTTGGAACTGCCATCTACTAGCCCACTATCGAGGACATCCTCCCTGACGGGATCCGAGTATGTTCCAACACCACCATCATTCATTGAGCGCCCGCCCATACCCACTTTCCCCATGATGGATCATCAACTAGAATCTTCATCGGACTACTTGTTCAGGTATACCAACTACCTCAGGGACCAGGAGCTTGCATGGCGACAATATTTATTAAGCGATTCTGTTTCGCAGCCGCCTCCCCCAAGGACGCCTTTTCCTGCATGGAATCCGGCTAGCTACGAAATTGCATCCGTGCATGCAATGGAATATCACAATCAGCCCTTTACGAACAAGATGGTTCCCTCATTTATCCAATCTACACCAGAGACACGCAAAGCCGGATGTCGCAACCCATGCTCCATGCCTTCCTACACAGAGAGTGGTACGACTAGCAGCATATCGGACAGTGACGATTCGGAGTCTGAAGACGACAATTCAATCTACAGCAAGCGTGAACGTTCCCGATCAAACTCAGGATCTAGTCGCGGAGCCTCCCATAGAGTACCTGTTCTCAAGCTAGGCAAATGGGACATGTTGAGCGACCCTTTCAGTCGACCTCAACCACGCCACTATGTTTGCGGACGAATCGAAAACGATGGGCCCAATGAGCGTCATTGTCGTAAAAGTTTCATGAGACCGGAGCATCTTCGCCGTCACATAAAGACAGTACACGGCGAGGCCCGCGACTATTTCTGCAAACTTCCACGGTGCCATAGGGCCTTCTCGCGCGGCGACAATCTCAGAGAACATTACTGGACTCATCTCGAGCGAGGAGGACGTGCTGGGAAGAACGATAAGATGAGTTTCGCGGAGCTGAAGGCTGTACTTGGACCAAAGGAGAAGAAATTGTTGCGCAGGCTAAAGCACAGGCTCTCTGATCACCAGGCGAAGCTTTCTGGTCACCAGCTCAAGATACGCAGCAAGCTTTAATGGGTGGAGCATACAGATCTGGAATTTGGCATGCGAATTGTTTCTCGATGTTAGTTTGGATTTGGGGATCTGTGTGACTGACGTGCTCATGCATTTTTGGTCGGTGCAAGATAGTACAGTAGCTGGGAACCTAGTAAATGAATCAATAAAAAAGAGTGCTCATGACATCTCGCCGTTTTTCCTACGCGCGACAAGCATCTTCATTGCAAGTGATCATCATCTAGTCATTCGAAGTTAGGTCCATAACAACGGCGTGGAAGTCACTGGCGGATTTATGACGAGAACTCACACGTCTAGAATCTAACATCAAGGAAGACCGAGGTCCTGTCCCATGTGCGGCGTGGTCAACAGTGGAGGCGAATGTCAATCTCCAGCCCCTCCCTGGAAGAGCTAGTAGCCTCAGACCCTGGTGCGCTCCCTACTAGAAGCGAACATGCGTGGGCGTTGTGCATCGGCAAGGAAATGCCGTCTGAACAATCACACCCTGTATAGAGACAGGCCAGGGTCTTAGCGCGCGAACATCGGATGAAGAGGCACAGTCGAGCGAACGTTGGAGGTTCTGGCGACGCACGGCTATCGCCCAACGTAGCGTGCTCTTGTGGATCTGAAGGATGATGGGAGCAGGGATTTGAAGCCAGGTACCCTAGAGCAAGGAGATTAATGAAAGAACCATTCCAGAATGCCTGGAGACTTTAGGTAGGGACTAGTAGTGATGACCAACAGCGAGAAATCGTTCGCACTGCTTTCCAACGTGGCATAAACTCCTTCAGAGACTACAGATCTCAAAGATAGAAATGGTGACTCGCCAAGGATGCATGGCAATGAGGTGCATAAGTCGTTCACCAACCGACAACAAATTACCGCGTACGATATGTAGGTCGTTCTATAAAAAGCAGGTCTTGCGTCAGCATGGCACATCCGCGCGCAAAGCGCAAGGTAGGTCCGCGGCGCGCATCCCGCGAGTGTGCCTTATGCGCGATGCACAAGTTGACACCACACCTGATCCTGCGGCCCACGCGTTGAAAGTGAAGCACACCAACACTCAGCCTGCGCAACCACGGCGGTTAATATGGCCAATAAGAAGGCTTAGTGGAACTCTAAGCCTACCTTCAGGCATTTGTCCCGGAAACGGTGTAAGTAAGATACCCGTGGATGTCAGTCTCGATCTTGCGCAATGTGGTGGTGGTGTTGCCATGACATCGACGGAATAAGGTTCAGCAGTGCAATGAGACTACGTAGCCACCTCGGCGGTATTCTAGCTCGTGTGCAAGGCCTTTTATGCTTTTGCAAAGTACTTGATAAATTTCTTCTTACTTTAGCTATCTCTTGCCTCTTCTAGGCGGCTAGATTGAATACTGGTAGATTCTGTTTATAGCTTCTCATGCTTAAGAAGCCATATCTAAGTATTAGGAATAATACTAGGTAGTAGATAAATTAGAAGTTTTAGAGCGTTGCACTTTATAAGGTGGTAAGAAGGCAGACAGCAAGTGTGCATAAGGCGATAGGCATGCACTGTTTAGGTAGCCCAGCACTCGCTTACAGGTTTCTAGCAGGGTATAAATTCTCGCCTCGACGCCGTGACCTTGGGGCACCTTGTCTCCCACGTCTACCTTGCCGCAAAAGTCGCGTTTGTGTAGATGCAATTGTTATTGAGAGGAAGAGTGCACAAGGAAGGTGCATCTAGATTGTCGAATGCCTGGGATGAGGCATGGCAGCTATCGAAGAGTCGCGGTAAGACTTGTTGAGTGTGTGCCACGAGCAAAACACGTGGTTGCCGTGCGAGCATGGTGGCGGGCGCGTATCGAGCGGGTAAACTGTGAGGTATCTTCACACTATAGACTGGATTATCATGAGCTATGCGATCGAGCAAAAAGTGACAATGATGCAGGTTGGAGATGTCACTGTACGACGCATTTCCTATTGCCTCCCCACGTTGCGATCACACAGTCAGGGTGTACGGTGGTAAGGAGTAGCAGCAGGCGGACCTCGGGAGATCCCCGGGGCCATGGATGTGAGAAAGCGCTAAGATACTTCAGGTCGGCCGAGGGCACGTGCACAAAATCTTATCGTAGACAAGCTCAGACGTCAGACAAGGAAATAGGGGTGTGATTTGCGATCAAGCGTTGATCTGCACGCTAGTCTTTTTCTTGTTCACTGTTTGACCCCTGAGATAAAAGTTATGCTCGACGCAAACCTCACCAGCAACGTTCCAGATGATCTCTGCGTCTCGAAGCGCGTCATTCACGGCTGGAGAAATCAGTCACTATCGGTGTCCCGTTGACCCATCTCACAAAGATGGCAGAGTCTTACGGTATTCGTCAATGAGACATCCGGCCCCTGGGCTATCCTTCAAAACCTGATCGTTAGCCTCAATAATACGACGTTTGCCCGCGCCACGCTCCCTGCTAGCCCAAGACCCAAGATGGATAGCTCGTCCAAAAACGGATCCAACTCCTAATCTAGTCAGGCACACTCCACTCTCCGCCCATTTCTTCGGACTCGGGAAATGAGTGGCTCGTATAGGGCTCCTACTAAAGACTGTCTCCCCAGAGCCAAGAGGGCTTTCTCTCCCCGCACGTCTTCCAACTCGCAATCTAAACAGTACACTCGTTTTTTGACATTTAGTTAATACCACATTCTTTAATACTTAATAATGTCTTCCATCATCCGCAACGCTCTCGCGCTCAGCGCTATCGCCGCCGTCGCCGTCGCTCAAGGCCCTGCCCCCAAGCTCGACGCTCCCTGCGCTGATGCCGTTATCTTCATGGCCCGCGGTAACAATGCGCCGTACCAGGACTACCGCACCTTCCCCTTTGTCGACGCTACGTGCGGCAAGCTGAGGGCTGAGGGCAAGACCTGCGACTTCATCGAGGTTGTGTTCGAGACCATGATGAACGGCGACTTCTGCACTCAGATTGCTACGGGAGTCCGCAACGGTCAAGCCCAGATCACCGCTTTCAACAAGAAGTGCCCTTGCACGCACATCATCCTCAACGGCTTCTCTCAGGGCGCCTGGATTACCGGAGATATCCTTGCTGGACCTGGTGGATGCTCCCAGATCACTACCGGTCTGGACAGAAGCTCGGCTCCTGGTAATGCTAGTAAGTATTCTTGACATCACGCAATCGGACCTGGGACTGTGCTAATTGATAATCTAGTTGCTGCTGCTCTCCTCTGGGGCGATGTCATGCACGTAGCCAACCAGCCATACAACGTCCTCGACGGCGCGAGTCTGCAGAAGGACGGCCGCAGCTCCGACTCCCTCGCGCGCCTGAACACCTACGCACCTATCCTGCGCTCTTACTGCGCTAAGGGAGACCCAATTTGCGCCAACGGCGACGATGTCAGCAAGCACTTGAGCTACTTCGAGCTGTACACCGACGACGCCTCGACCTGGGCTGTTGGAAAGCTCAATGAGGCCGCCCCTCTGTGTGCCGCTCCTACCCCTACGCCCAGCGCTTCTTCCACTGCCGGTCGCCTCGTCTGCCGCTGCCTCATCTGTCGTCGCTTCGTCTGTTGGCGTTGCTTCGGTTGGCGTCGCTTCTGTTGCCGCTGCTTCGTCTGCCGCTGTTGCGTCGTCAAGCGCTGCTGCTCCCTCCAGCAACGCCACTCTTCCCTCTTACCCTACTTCTCCTGTTCACCCTGCTCCCTTCCCTGTCCCCCAGTCATACGAGATTGGCTGCATGGCCATCCCGACGATTGAGTATGTCTACGTTTAAATAAGAGTGAGAAGGACGGAAGATGTAGTAGAGTGGAAGTAGTGATAGTAGTAGACGGGTGTGGATCGATTATAGAACTATGAAAAAGAATGACCGTCGTGGTCGACGTATGCGAGAACTTTTTATTTCCGTGCGTGATGAGTGCTTTCCGTCTGCTCTGCAAGTGCGCTGGGAACCCTGGCAAAGTGCTACGACTCGCTGGTATATCTTAACGCTGATTAGGTACCTTGTTGGACGCTTAAACAAAGTGAAGGGAATGTGGTGGCAGAGCGAGACTTGGAGCAAGCCCGGCTGGCGGACTTTGCCCTAACCCCGCGCTCAACCCAAACCCTGCGCGTCCACATCGAGGAATCAGTCTACTCCACGCGTCAGATGAAGCAAAATACCAACGTTGAAGTCCATTGGTTACTGAGTCCTCGGCAGCCAGGCGCCACCTTGTCCTCATCAGCCACCAGACTACCCTATTGCGGCAATCAATACGACCTAACCTCGAGTCGAATTTACCTGCGTGTGCAAGTTAGCAACTGAAAACACACCTGCTCAGGACGAGGTTGACGCGGTGTTGTGTGCGTGCACCCAATCGTAACCTGGTCAATGGAATTTCAAGACCATGTCTTCGCGGTAGACGCATCTTGGGGTTGATTTCTTCCACCTATCTCGAATCGTCACGCGCGATGGAGCGGCTTTGACAGCAGTTCATGCGACAATGCAGAACACTGCCCCACCGAACGTTCGTCACACCATCATCTGTCTCTGTGCGACGTCAGATGGGTTATTATTACCCTGATTCAACTCGCGACTCGACTTCTTTGGAGTGTATTGTAGCGTAGATCGACCTCGTAAGTTCTTTGTGTGTATCATCTTGCCGTGGGGCTGAGCCGCTCCATCATTACTTCGATGGATCTTGTGCATCTGGGCGTAATCTACTGCGTAGCTGTTTCCTGCTACGGCGAACCCAATCTTCAGATTTACGACCCCGTTCCTCATGCAGAAAAGCTGGTCTGCAAAGACCTGTACCAGCCACGTAGTGGAATGGTGACGGAGGATTGCAAAGCCACGCCGCTTGCGCCTGTTCTGTAGGCTTGTTGACATCGGCAAATAAGATGAATTGTTCGTGCGAGCTTCGAGGCGAGCTGTCTCAGTCATTTCCTGTCGTCAAAGCTCGAGAAGATAAGCGGTTCTTGAGTGGAGGATAAAGCACTCCACCAAAGATAGCCGTCATACTGCTGGGTAGATAGACTTGTCTCATATCTCAAGATCGACAGTATGCTCTTCCCAGATTTTGACGATAGGTCTCGTTTGGTTGACGATCGAATAATGACAAACAACAACACCTGACATGCGAAGACTAGTATACTGTCATGTAGCTATCAGGATTCGGCGGTAATTAAGATGGGTACATCATGTCGATACGGGACGGATATGATTGGTGGTGAGGTAGACTATTCCTTCCATGCATTCGTAAAACAGTATCGCTACGCTGCAGATTGGATAGCCAGTATAGCGTCGGCGAATGAATTTAGTCACACAGACCTACTACTTACTGTTAGTAGCATTTGCCAGTGTACTTGACGATAGGAGGTCTCATGTAAGGCTTCTAAAGTCAGGGTGTTACATTACAACCCATGGAGAACTACTGACCCGATGCAGAAATTCTCGTCTTGTTCCATGCCGCCACCTTTTCCATGTCTTCTTGATATTTTTCAGTCGCACTTTGGCCTTTTGTTTTTGGATACTGTGCCTTGACATCAGCAATCATTGCCTCATATGCCTCGAATTTTGTGTCCTTCGCTTCCCATGAATGCTGAAAATGCAAGCCACGCTGATCGTCAAGTGACCAGGCACACAACGAATTTGGCCAGCTGTTCTTTTGTGTCTTCATTGATCCAGACAAATTGAGAATCAGAAATCATACCGCCAGGTTCGTATTTTTCTTGCATGAGCAAGGCAATTCTATAAGTCTTAAAGTGCGCAGACAGATTCTTGATCCTTGGAAGTGAGAGAGTGCTGCAATGATCATGGAGATATCTGTCAATGAACTCTTGAGGTAGTGGGTCAGCTAAAGTTTACAAGAAGGCGCGACGGAGTACCTCTATTCGCGTCGAAGAGTTGGGTAACATCGGTAGATAGGTCTGGTATCTGCCCCAGTCGCATACCCTTCCCCAAACCTCGCCTCCATCCGCTCAAGCATCGCCTTGTACGCCCCAATCTTCGTTTCTCGACACGGCCAGTCACCAATGAATCCATACTCTTTGCCAGAAAGATCATAATTATGGATCCTGTGACTGAATGGTAAGCTCATTCGATAAGGAAAGGCAGGAATACAACGACCAGAGTGTTTGGCTAGCTCTTCATTGACCTTGGGGTCAGGATCGGAGGTAAAGCGAAAAGGAGATGCAGAGCTCACGATATGCAAAGGTTCTGAGCAAAATTTAGATTCGGCAGCTAGTGGAGCTGTACGGAAGTGACTTGTATCGTCCTGCACCTCGCAAACCACGAGCAAGTAGCTCGACACCCCGATGCCATGTCAAACTGAGGAAGTGCCAGAGACTTATCCGGTATCTTGAGGACAAAGAGAACGAAGGAAAAAAACAATGCCGCGGTACTGGAAAATAACTATGCGATCTGGTTTACTGCATCAAACAATAGCTGTGGTGGTAGATGATCGCAATCAAAGAAGTTCGATGAGCTCACTCCAAAAGTCACATTTGCCCTACTTATCAAGAGGTTCAAAGAGGGAGATGTATGTAAGCATTAAAAGATTGCGATCAAGACCCGCCTATCAACTTATTGAACATACTCTTGACACGCCCGACAGGCGACGCCTCTTTCAAATCCATTAGCCAATGTGATGGTGTCGGATTCTCCTGGTAATCGATGATATCCATGCCACTTTTCTCAGAGTGGCAAAACAGCAGCATGAATTCATGTGCGGGCGTCTTTTGGTGCTCTGTGATCGGCACGAGTGTGCCATCTGCACCCCTCACCCACGTAAAACGCTGTCCTATTTCGGTGAGGCCAACTGTTAGATCGCTTGCCGTGTTGTTGGCAAATAAATCGTTTATAGAAGCTGATCAGACACATCTATTAGGTAGATCGGAATTTATTTTTGAGGCGTAACATACGTGTCAGTCCGGCGAGGTACGTTTGGCACTCCTCTTCTGTGAGCGACTCTGATGGCGATGAGGGGCGGGGTGGTGGTGATGGAGATATCTTTGGCCGGGTTGAAGAACAGAGTTATGGACGCTGACGCTGAGAATGGATTGGCGGATGCTTTGGTGTGTGGAAACATGTTAAGAGGCATGTTTGTAACCGGAATTTATACGCAGGTGTCATGACTGATGATTGCTCATAGCCATGACAGCAATGACAGTTCATGTACTGATGACTATTGATGTCGTACGAAGACATTAGCTGCAATTCGCAGATGTTGTACTTGAGTTGAAAGCAAAATGAGAAGTATGTGAACTAGAGCTGCCACTTAATGCCTTGTTCTCTAGAAGGTCGTATTGCATTAGTTACGTCATTCATAGTTCAAGGTATTTGTATCAGTACGACCTCCTGCGTCATCACGTATTCAGATGGAGTCGTAAGTGAACATGAAAATAAGCCCCACTTCAGGCGCAGATGAAGACTTCAGGCGCAGATGAAGTTTACGTAAGAATATCCTACTTCACGTCAAGCATCCAAATTTCGATCACTTGTATGTATACATGTCCCGAGACAAAACCACCCTTGTCATTCTTACAGTCAGCACTCGAACGCACATTTGTGAAACAACTTAGATAAATCAAGAAAACTCGAAGATCTGTTCCTTCCCTACAACTCTTTAGAAAACCAAATATCCAGACCCGGGTAAATCATACTCGCACACGCCCTCAAACTCCACATACTGAACACTCCCTTTGATGACAATACCCAAATTGTATCACGATTTTGAGCGTTTTAATAGTTGTAGCTTTTACATGCTCGGTGTGAGAGATATTTGCTCCCTAGTGAAGCAAATACCACACCTTCTCATAGCACACTAAAACCAACATCAAAACCCACCCAGCCCACTCTCATCATCGTCCTCATCATAATCCCACCCCTCATCCATCCAATCGACCTCGTCCTCTTTCTCTCCACCATCACATCCCCTAATCTCATCTTCTGTTACCGCTTTCCCCAACCCGATCGAGAGTTGCACCCCATCCTCCAGCGCATGATAGCTCCAATCATACTCCAAGTCGTCCAACGCATGCGGCTCATCAGCAGCTCCAACGCGGCATTTGACTTTTGAGAGCTCGACGCCGACAACTTTGCCGCTTGTGGGTGTGGAGGATGTCACGTGCGTGGGCGGGCGGATCGCGCCTGCCGAGGCCTCGGTTAGAGGGGAGACTACTCGAACACTTGTAACGTAGAATAGAGAGGGATGCTGGACTGCTGCTGTGCGAATGGAAGCGTGTGTTTTGGGGTCGTTGCGGAGGTCGTTGAATGATGCCTGGGGGTGGGTGAGGGAGATCTGTGTGGAGTCCTCGTCGTTTAGGGTTACTGAATCCTTCCTTTGGGATATGAATTTCGTAGTCCCGAGCCCATCATGTGCATTTTGTGTGATGATGCTTTGTTCTTTGATGTGTACCTCTGGTTGGTGTTGCGGGCGGAGAGAGAATGAAGGGGCGATGTCGTTGAAGGGAACAGTGACGATGTAGCCAGGTCCGATCGAGTCACTTGGCAGCGGTGTAGGAAGCTCGATGAATGTTGACATGATGTTGATGAGGAGGTTGAAGACAGCAAGGAGAAGATGGAATGAAGATACGACTAAGAAGCAAGGAATTGGTCTGCGTCGGTCTAGGGAGAGAGCACCTGAAGATCACCCGACCACGCCAGAGTTGAGATACTTTAACACTACGCATCAGATCCTCCACATAATAAATGGCTATACCTTGTTGAGCGACGCGCGTAGGAGTGACTACACGAAACACTCAAGTGGTGCACTAGCGGGCATCAGTCGGCTGTCGTCGGTTATCGTTAATAACGCATCATTCGATGCGCCAATTCTCAGCCTGTGCTGTTGCTGCAGGTCCATCATACGTTCCACTATGGGCGGGGAAGCGGTGGAGTCGGCTGATGGTGTGATGTAAGCTTTCAGCCAAGATGATGATAGCCAAGATCGCTGAAAGATGTTCCAGGCGGGGAGAAGCGTTCTCTTTCTTTCTTTCAGAGACGCCTAGCCAAAGTTCATTTCATGTGTATACTTTTGCTGCATGTCGCGTGTCGCGCTACCCGATGTGGATGGTATCACAACATGCCCCACCTTCTTCACACTTCGCCTAGAGTTCGACACTGATCCGACCGAAGGCTATGCGAGGCGCAGGAACGGCCGTACTGATGCTGTGTACGCGAGAATGGAGAGGGTTGAAGAGCGGGTGGAGCGGGACAAAGTTGTGGCTTGGCGATGAGAAGTGGCAGCCACTCAGTGGCTGCGGGCAGCAACCATGTGGGAACACGAAACGGCCGCGATGCTCCCTGCACTGACGACATGTATCATCGCGCTTGTCGTCATATCTGTCTTGCCTTGTTTCGTTGCTTGTCCGCGGCCATTCAGCTTCATTAGAGATGAAGCGACGAAGTGTTCGGCGAGTGCGTCGCGCTCGGAGTCGGGCGGAAAGATGACACTGCCACAGCGGGATGGGCCAGCCAGCGCCTTGATGACATGTGCTTGTGCCTGTCCGGTACACTGTAGAAACGTATACATGTCCACTAATCACCACAACTAACCATGGCCGCAGCAGCAGCAGCAGCAACAGAGACGAATAGCACAATTCCACATACACGGCGGCAGAATGCACTTGCCGATATCCAATTCGCATCTATTGTCGACGACGACCTCACGCCCTCGGAAGATGAATCGCCCGAGGAGGAATTGCTGCAGCTGGAGACGGTCCAGTCGGCCATTGGCATCAGTATAGGAGAGCAGCAGACGCACCTCAAGTCTCCCAAAACGCCGGCTGCAGAGAAGGCCGCCGCGTTGGACGAGACTGACGGTGGCGCTCTTTTTGAGGGCTTCGAGGACCGGACCGAGATAACAGGGCGCAAACCGTCCACCCCACGCATACCATCGTCCGATAGCGAGGGTGAAGGAGAGAACAGTGCTGCTATTTCGCAACAGCAGGCGCAACTCGGCCGTGAGCAAACGCGGGATGCAGACTCACGGGCGCGCCTTCCCTCCCCGTGGCGGGCAGGAGCAAAGACCTTCCAGGAGAGAGTCAGCGACCACCGCTCCCTCTTGCGCCAGAATCTGAGCAGCGGACGGCGACGCGCTTCCTCCGGCAGCTCAATGGGCGAAACTGTGCGCAAGTACATGCCCTTCAACCTTCCGTCTATGCCTAAGACCTACCGCGACATACACTTCAGCCTGCCCAGCTTCTCCGCCCTGTCTCTCGATGGCCAGAGTGCCCCGGGCACCGCTGACCGCAAACGACGCGGGACCTTTGCACACAGCCCGAGCCTGAGTGGCATCCCGCAGCAGGACGGCAGCGACCAATCCACCCTCCATACCCGCAACAGTCCCTCGCAGGACGCCACAACACCGCCACCACAGGCCGCCACAGCACCCATACTGCAGCACGACTTCGGCACAGACAGCGAGTCGACGATAGCTCCCCGGCCGTCGCTCCGACCTTCGACCGAGCGACCAGCGCCTAGATTGCGCCGGTCCAACTCAGAAGGCTCACTGCTTGTCTACCGGACCAAGTCTTTTGCCTCCTCCCTGGGCGACGACAGCCGCTTCGAAAGTGTGCAGGAGCAGGTCAACAGCAGGCTCAAGGCGATACGGGACAGCTGGCAAGATGCCAACTTCAAATTCCCAAGCCCGACCTTGCCTAACTTTAGCTTCAACTACAGGGACGACCGCTTCAAGAGCCGCTACGGCAGCACGGCTCCCAGGCCGCGAGAGACAGACGACGACACCACGCACAAGGTCAGCCTGCGCCCACGAGTGCTGGCATCGGCCTCACTCGGGTCCTCGACGAAGCCAAAGACGAAGCGGCCGAGCAACTCCACTGCAGCCGATGGCGAGACACACCCGTTCTTCACACAGGCTCTGCACGAGCTCGAAGGCGACCTAGTCGTACTCGGAGGCTACCGCGGCTCAATTCTGCGCTCCGCCGAGCCACCCCATCGGCAGCTGTGGGTTCCTATCAAGGTTGGTCTGAACCTGCGCAAGGTCGATCTCGAGGTGCCTTTCGATCCAGAAGCCGACGAGCGCATGGAAGAGACCATAATACCCAGCGGCATGCTGCAACACATCGGGCCGGTCGATATCTCCAAGCGGCTGTTCAAACGTCTTCGAGCATGTGACAATGCCAAGAGTGGGAAGCTGCGGGTGCACGATTATGGCTACGACTGGCGTCTCTCTCCACATTATCTCAGTCGCCGCATGATCGCCTTCCTGGAATCGCTTCCGTGCAATCATCCAAGCGTTCCGCGGGAGAAGCGGGGTGCCATCGTTCTGGCTCATTCGTTGGGAGGTCTGATTACGCGTCATGTCATCAACCAACGACCCGATCTCGTGGCTGGAGTCGTGTATGCGGGTGTGCCTCAGCGATGCATCAATATCCTAGGACCCTTCCGCAACGGCGACGATGTGCTCTTCTCATCCCGCGTGCTGACTGCACAGGTCAACTTCAGCATACGCACATCCTTCGCGCTCCTCCCTCTCGATGGCAAGTGTTTTATCAACAAGCACACCAAGGAGGAGTACCCGATCGACTTCTTCGACCCCAAGACTTGGTCTGATTATCGCCTGTCGCCATGCATGGGCCCTGCGCTGCCACGGCCAGACGCACCCAAAGATGGCAACCTGAGCGTGAGCGGCCTTCTTAACGCCATGTCACAAGCATTACCTACATTTCCGAGCCGCAAATTTAGCATGTCGAAGAGCTCGCAAGCAAACAGCCAAGGGACCAGTTCGTCCGCTGGAGATGCCGTCAAAGGCGCCGCAGACGTTGCTCGGAACGCCGCAGACAAGGTTACCGAAGGCGGCGCGGACAATGCAGGCATGAGCCCACAAATGGCACAAGGGCAAGAATCAACCACGCAACACATTTCCTCAGAGCCAAACCCCGCAACCGCAGTCACAATACCCTACGACAAGGCTGTCGAATACCTCACACGAACCCTCGCCGAGATCAAGCGCTTCAAGCAGGAACTCGACCACATGCCCGCGCACACTGAATCCAACGCCTACCCACCCATAGCACTCATTTATGGCAAGACAACGCCAACAGTTTACGGCGCCAAAGTCGAGTCTCGCGAAGCCATTCCCCGCGCAGACTGCTACGACGAACTGGCATTTGCTAGCGGCGATGGCGTTGTCCTCGCACGTGCTGCCATGGTGCCCGAGGGATACTCCGTTGTGCGTGGCGGAGTCGTGTCCAGCGATCGCGGACACATCACGCTACTTGGGGATTTGGAAGCTGTGGGAAAATGTCTCCATGCCGTCATGAAGGCGAGGAAGGGTGGTGTTGGGATGGGAGATGGGGCGAAGAAGGTGAGGTGGGATGGAGTTGGGTTGGGGCTGGGTTAGTAGAGGAGGGGTATTCATGAGTAATGCTTAGAGTATAATAGAGTATGCCTTTGATGATAATTGAATTATGAATCTATATGAATTATATGATTGAAGAAGATGGTTGCTTTTGTGCTTTTGTGCGTGGGTGAGGGGAAGGGACTGGATGGCCATGGGAGAGAGCGAAAGATGAGTGTGTTTTCCTGTCGATTTCCTCAAGATGTAAAGAGGAGCGAGAACCCTATGGATTTCAGATCCTGGCCAAAACCTCTAGCTGTGAATGTGCGAGTTTGGATATACGGGTGTGTGCAGCGAAACCTCGCGGCGGATTCATCGGGCATTCGACAGCTGCTGTGGATAGCAAAGATCGCGCACCAGCTCCACTATCCGCAAACGTCTTTGATCTTCGGTCGAGGGAGATGTGAGGGTAGGCGTGGTCTTTTTACTTGCTGCAGGACGGATCTTGGGAGAAACGGGGGGAGTTGGGAGCACGAGAGACTGCGGAGGGCGATGCTACATGCGAATCGCTGTGGACTTTGAAACGGGTCGGTAGATGTTTTCGACAAAAGGAAGGTACGTACGGTGGCTGTGGTGGTTGTACAGCTTTGAGTCAGGTTTGACGATGTTATGGAGCTCGTACGTGTGCGACGCAACGTCGGTGTTGGTACCAACATGTGTGTCGTGAGTATGTGACTGCAAGCTTGTTCTGACTGTGGAAGAGTCACGAGTTAGTATAATACGATGGGCGTTCTAGGTTCTCCAATCTTCTCAATTCCTCAAAGCAACAACAACGAGCTCTCAATGCAATTAAGCACCACTTCGAGCAGATTAGCAAACCAAGAAAAATGAAATTCGAAAAGGATTTCCGCTGTACCTCAGAGTCGGATCGCGGGATCCTTAAAATGCTCAAACAGGATGATGGTCTTTATTTTCCCCTAACCACTTTCAACTCCCGCCCACTGACCCCGTTGCAGCCGCAATCAAATGGTATCTCCAATCCAAATTCAGCAAAGCTCCGCAACCAGACATCAATGCCGATTTCATCACCATTCAAATCCCGCTGTTCATAGAATTCGGACAGGAGGCGGATAACATGCACGTGAGGAACGGACCCAAAGCGCCCCAGACCTGGCGCGTTGTTTTGATAAGCAGCGCTGTCAAAGAAGATCACATCTCTATCGACGCGCAGTGGGGTGCCAAGGAGACGAAAGCAGAGGCGTATGCGGAGATGGTGAGGGTGGTAAAGGGGGAGTGGGAGAGTGCTGGTAAGCCACCTGTGGAGTAGGGTGATGGTGATGGTGAAGTGGGGAGAGCGATGATGAAGGCTTTAGACCGTGGAATCTAGAGAGAATGAAATGTTAGAAATAATGCTCTGATTGCACATAAATCCTGCGAATTTTATCACGACTTCATACCAGCTAGTTGACTACTGCCAGCAAGACTAATGTTACCTTTAACTAACGGTTGGGACCCAATAGGCTAGTGACCTCTCTGGAAATGAAAGATTGAACTGATTACTCCCATATGTCAGCTGTTTTTTTACCACACATCACCCGTGTCTGTAAAAACACACTGAACGCTCCCTTTAGCGGGGGTCAATGAACAAGACCTTGAGTCATGCTTTTCAGCGCATGTACTTGTCATTGTAGGCTTTGAGTCAATTATGACATTCACTCATGCCAGGCAACGCATGTTGTGCAACCATGTGGACTAGTTCGCACGACCAACAGTCAGCTGTATCCACACATGATCCAGCGCTCAGGTATCATGAACAACAAGTCAGTCACGATACCTACATATAAATACTTGCTGCAAGCTAATTTTTTTACACATCAATCTACAGATAGTAAAGTACTCCTCGATCGATTATGTCTACACAGAGATCAGAGTCGCCTGCCAAAGTACCTGGGGATGGACAGATCCAAAATGACCTCACCATGCTTGAGCGTAAGACGCCCCTTCAAAATTCGGTCCCACTCGACTAACAGGGATTCCAGCTCACATTGAGGCACTCTTTGACGGTCACCCGTACAAAGACAACCTCACTGTTGGTATCGTGGACATGCAAACACCATATGCGTTCGTTACAAATGCAAATGGCAAACTAGTTCCTATTACAGAGGAAGGGGAGAACCCGGCGGGGAAATGGAAAATCCTGTATTGTCACTGTAAAGAACAGGATATAGTGTTTCAAGCGTACGAATATGATCCGCCAGATCTCGTTCAGTGGGTTACGGAGGTGAAAGCGGGATTTGACCGCGAGGATAAGGATGAGAAGAAGCGGGCTAAGGCAGAGGGCCGGACCTCCATATCGAGGTTCTTCCGTAGAATAACCCCGTTCTTTTGAATGTAGATATTGTACAGGGCTGACACTTTTTTCATGCGAAATCGATTTTTGATCAGTTTAGAAACATATATGGCATCATTGGTGACTGGTTGCATCGCATCGCAAAACGGAGCTTGGGGCTTGGGGCTTATAAAACAATGATGTGGTAGGTTGAGACATTGGCCAGCAAGAAGGACCCTGACAGGGAGGCGGCTGCTGGGTCAGGCGCATGCTCAAGTGCTTAGACTCTAGTGAGTCTTTCGTGTACGCGAAGATAAAGCTACAGAGTACACTGGTAATCAATGGAAGTTTCCATGAGATTGCAGTCATATCATCATCGTGAGTAGTACGGTCAGACAGGTACGTCTCACCGTCTACATCGAACCAATCTACTCCTCTAGCTCCCCGGCTATTCTGCTTCATCTTCTTCCTGCTCCTCCTGTTGTTGCTCTTTATCTTCTTCCTTCTCCTCCTCCATATTCTCATCTCCCAACATAATCGCCCTAGTCTTACAATCTCCCTGCCACTTGCTCGAGAATTTCACGTCCTGCAGCATCTGCGGCGTCAGAATCTCCTTCAATCGCAAGCAGCCGCGCATACTACAGTCGTCCGCCACGCCTTGCTTCACCTGCCCCAGTCTACGCTGAATCTCCTTCTCCTCAACGACGCCACCCATCTCCTTGCACAGCGCGCGAATCTGCTTTTCCGCACTGTCTAGTTCCCCACGCGCAGCGACAATCAGCTCATCGAGGAGATTACGACATATCGCACATGCCTCCAACTTATGCCCCTTGCCAATCGCCTGGCTGCCCCATACCCTGCGGCTTCGCTGTTTATAAACGGGGAGCCAAACTTTCAACGGCCACCAAGGGTTCAACACGCGCTTCTCGGTGAGCTTGAGCAGCTGATCGACTTCCTTGAAGAAGTCCTTGCGCGCGTCGAGGCGTTGATCGGTTATTTGGGGCCGATAGTACTGCTCTACCAACTGAAGGTGCGTGGCGAGCGCGAAGCGAGTAATTTGGTCTTCGAGACGCAGTTCCAGCTTCGAGTCATGGGTTGGAGGCGTGTAGCGAAGGATGTCTGGGGTGATGTTGGCGAAGAGGAATGCGCTGCGGATGATTGCGTCCGGATTTTTCACAACTCTAGCGGGGGGAGGAGGGGTCGGCGGCTGGACTGCAGCTTCTGCGAGGAGAATGTCTGGGATCTGTACTCGATTCTGAGGAGTCTGCACGGATAAACTGCCAACCTGAGTGTTTATCGCAGAGATCTTGCGGGTACTAGCAGATTGTGAGTACGTCTTCAGCGTCTTGTCGTAATCCAGCGACATACCCGTGACCGTCGAATCAACGGAATACGACTTCTGCCCACGAAATCTATCGTTGGTGAACTTGTCTGCCTTACGATTATCTTTGTTCTTCGGCATGACAGTGCCATACGTGATCGAAGTATCCACCGGGTTCGACTTCTTCACGCGAGAGTCTTTGTTGACAGGTTTCAATGCATCCAGGACTTTGTCTGCTTCGCGCTTTGCCTCCCGCTTTGCTTTCCGCTCTGGTGCCTTGGCTGTATACTTAACAGTACACTTCTCACACGCACCGCGTACTTCACGACCATGACAAGGCTCGGCAGCGAAATTACCCCGAGGCAACCAGGTTCTGCAAGAGCTACAGAAATGCATCTGGACATCGGGCTGGAACGTAATTGGTAGACGGTTTCGGACTCGCTGTGAAGTTGGTGCCGCATTTTGAACTGGAGCTGGAGCTGGAGCTGCCACTACAGATGTGGCTGTATGAGGTGGAGAAAGGACGGTTGTCTCTCGCAACGACGTTGCTGGCGTAGGCGGAGCTTCTTCAGCTGACTCGTTCGAAATGGGAGGTACATCTGTGCTGGTCTCGACAGGTACTTGCTTGGCCATGCTATCCGAACTAGCCTTGGAGTCAATCGACAGGTTCTTGGTGGTCGTATTTTGAGTGCTCATGGTTGTTGATGTGTGTTGGTTTGATAGTAAGTTGAGTTGTTCGGGAGAGTTGTGGTGTTCTGGTTTGATATAATCGGTTAGGACGAGAGGAAAAGTGCTATTAATACCAGAGGGCGTACATTTCGGTGCAGAGGTGACGATTTCGTGTGCCTGGAGCATCGTGAAACTACCAAGGCGCAGGCACGCTGAGCGCACTGTGTATCGAGAGGGTCCGGTGTAGTGTAGCGAGTGAATCATGGCTGCCTTGCTCGCGTTCTCATTATAGAGTTGATGAGGGTGAAAGAAGCAGCTGGACGATAGAACAGAGTCGGACACATTTAGATTACATTGTAGCAAATTTTACCCAAGAGACATGAAGGTCTCTGATGGGGCACTGGCTACCATTTGAGAGTAGATATCTGATCCAAAACTAGTCGATCCAAGTGTCCAAGACCCAATGCATCGAAAACTTCCTGCCATCGAGCACCTTCTTGGTCAAAACCTCGAATAGCAAGAGAGAACCTCTGTCCTTACAATCCTGCACAATAACATCCGTCACCATCACCATATGCTTCTCCAACTCATCCTCGCGATCCAGCACGCCCATCTCCATACAAGCCTGGTTCATCTCTAACCTAGCCCACTCCAACCGGCTGTTAGCAATGTTGCCCAGCTCATCACACAGCTGACGAATCAAGCCAAACACTTCCAACTTGTTGATCGCGTACCCTGTTGCGTACCGCTGCATCTTTGTGTTCCAAATGTTGAACGTTCTGGCCTCGAATAGCTCAAACCACTGCCAGAAAGGCTGCCAAGGTAGAAGTTTGCCTCGCTTGACTTGATCAATGATGATGTTGATCTCGCGGAAGAAGTCTGCTCGCATGCAAAACACGTGTCTGACTGGCCTCCAGCGCTTCTTGACGATTAAAAGGATTGTTGCGAGCGCGAAGACTGTTGTTGCGTGGGCGAAGCGGGACAAGGGGGTGTCGTTCGGTGGGATGTCGTTGTAGTTGAGCAAGTCCACATGCAGATTTAGAGAAGCGCATATGGATGCTAGAGGACTAATATCCTTGGCGGGCTCATGTTCAGTTCCAACCGTGATTTCGGACAACTTTTGTTGTATAATGTCAAGACCAGAGCCGCTCTAGACTTTGGTGGCGATTCTCGATCGCATGCACCATGCCTTCCTGCGAACCTCAGCCTTTGCCGAACAGGAGATGCAATTGAGACGTAACTTGCGTTCTATCCCCCGAAACGTTCGTCGCTTGTTCTTGAATTCGTCTATGGCAATGAAGTGTCTGCATCTGCCGCACCGGTGTGTCGAGGGAGTGGACTTCGATGTACCAGGATCAGCCTGATAGTTGTCGCTGAGTATGATCTTGAGATCCATCTTGGAGTCTTCAAGTGAGGATTCGCTACTGCAAGAGCGCATAGAGCTAGCTTGCATGGTTTTTCTTGACTGGTTTGGTAGGTCTTGCTCTTGTGCAGCAATAAGTAATTAGCTGTATATATCAGTACATACACTGTGAAAGAAAGCGAGAAAACCATGTGTGTACCGCGCTTCGTGGATCTAGGCATACCCGACTTTGACAATGTTTGGGTCTACAGTGAGAATAGTCAAAAGCAACTCCAGAATTGCAAAGTCAAGACCTATATGCACGAAATGCAGAAGGTTCAAAGCTGGAGGATAGAGTATCTTGTAGGAAATATATCAGAGAAAAGAAGCAACGATGTCGAAGTACCACTCAGTAGTTCAGCGTTTCCGCAATGCAAGGAAACCGCGGTACGTTGTGCATGAGATGATCTAGATGTAGGTATGTACAGATACTGACACTGTTCGATTTTGGAGCCGCAGGAAAACATATACACATAGAACCCAACCACATTACGGCGATAAAATAGGATCCTAACTCCCACCACCCTCCCCTTCACTGTCTTCCCATTCCTCCCCCCACCCATCCACCGCCGGCTCCCCATCCAACAACATAACCAAATCCTCAAACTCTTTCCCCACCACCTCCACTGCGTCCAGCACATCTCCAAACTTACCATCCATATTCCCAATAACGTCCACCATCTCCCTGCTCTTCACCTTTGTCTCAGTAATCGCCTCGACCGCATCTGAAATCATATTCATCGTGCCAGCATGCTCAAGTCGGGCGTTCACGATCCCCAACCGTTGGCCTTCGCTCATGTCTTGCGGTAAATCGAGGCCCGCGAATTTAATCGCGCGGGTGAGAATACGTGCGTGCGCGACGTTGTGCATGCCATTTATATTGCTAGTAGCGACTCTGAGACTAGCGAGGAATTCTGAGAGGTGGTCGTCTGCAGCTTCATTCAAGGCGGTGAGGGCATTGTCGCAGGCGAGAGAGTGTTCAGGCAGCCAAATCTCGCGCGGTATGAGTTTGTCCGACGGCGGCGCGCCGCGGGATATGCGTTGTCGAAGCACGATTTTCTGCGCTGTTTGTAGGATGGTGAGATGTTGAAATTCTCCCAAAGCCCGGGATTGAACGTTTCGCCGGGCGAGGCGCACGCGGTCGGCGATGATGGTGCAGTTGTTTAGCCAGATTGTTGTGGCCCAGTTGTTCATCTGGCGGGAGTATTTATCTAATGTTTCGTGGTCTCGCATGCGTTTGGCTGCCGTGATTTGTTGTTCCAACCTGTGTGCGGTGGTTGCGTTGGCGGTGTGGGCGAGGAATTGGCGCTCTGATACGAGGGTGTAGAACAGGAGGTATTTGAGGTCTTGGTCGATATCAGGGATGGCGTAGCCCAGATGAGCTAGGATGATGGTCATGAGCTCGCATGTGTCTGTTGTTGAAAAGTGCACAGTTTCCAGTCGGTAAGCGTGGACGGCATGCAGGAGTTTCTGCGACGTGATGTCGTGGGCGTCTGCACTTCTGCGATAGCTCAAGCTCCCGTTGAGGTATTTAATTCGCGCGTACATGGTGGCGATCAATACTTCTCGAGCATCAGCGTCTTCAACTGGCACCCCGACATGCCTATTCCAGTTTCGAAGCACGTGCTCCATCTCTTGAGGCGTCTCGATGATAGGCTTTGTGAGGAACTTTGCAACGTCGTCGTTCATCCGTAGTGGCCACAGCAAGTCTTCAAACTTGGAAGGTCGTGGACCATAACCTTTTTTTATTCGCTTGAGGACATCGGTATTCAGACCCCTCTTCAACTTTCTCTGATCGTCTGTCAGGGTGATTCGTGGTACACTCCAATCGATTCGAGCTTGCTCTTCTCCACACTGCAAGTCGAGCCATTCTCTAATCTCTTCCAGATTCGAGCCAGGAATTAACGAATCGACATCATTGCCTAGGTCTTCGCTGGCCCCAAGATTTGGGTTTGGATATGCAGTACTGCTGACGGTCTCCGCATCAGCAGTCTGCTTGCAAGGATCCTCGCGCTCCGTGTCCAGCACGTTGCGAAGTACAAGCGAACGCCTAAGATGAGCAGCGCCTTGTTCGTTATCGATTGCCATTAGCTGTTATTATGCTCGCAGGTGTGCGTGTATCCGGGTTTCCAAGGAGTTTGTTGGAAACGGAAGAACTGAGTTGTACGCGCCATAACTGCTGCATGCTATCAATTGTTTTTTTTTCTTGTCAATATGCTCCCAGTCTTGAGGTTTTGAAGGGAATGGGCCGTGAAGCTTATGATTGGCTCTGGGCTTCACAGCCGGCGCGGTCACCTACTAGGAAAGTCACAGGGGGATTCCATACCTGGAGCTGCATACAGCATTACTAAGTTTTAGATTTGACCACTGGCTCTGTGGATATCTTTACATTACGTAGGTACAAGATCGGCCGTGAAGCAACCGACCACTCTTGGCTTCACAGTTGGTGTGGTCACCAAGATACCGCGGTGGATAAAGTCGGAGTAGCATTGACAAGGTGTGTTACAGCTGCCACAACCAATTGATGAGATTACTCACGCAACCATGGTGTTGGTGATGCAGTGGTGCCACTGGCTGGTGATGATGTGCGAGACGCGTGTTGTCGCGCCATGTCCTGCTGTACCTCGTAGCCGCCAACGTTACTCGGTATTCAGTCGAACTGCTTATCTTGCGATGCACAATTCCAATTTATTTGAGGTCGTTATCTTGTTATCTTCGTCTGACGCGCAAAAGTTTGCTCCCGGCGTCGTGGAAATCGCTCGAAGGTGCGCGAGAAGATCGACAGCACGCCTACCCCGATCGGGCGTGCCTGCTGCCACACGAGCCAATGACACCCCCTTCTCGTCGACCATAATCGTGCCGAACGATTCGTTCGGCGTCGAGCAAGCGAGCATTGCATCGTAAGCCGTCAACGTCGCTGGCTCTGTAACCACGCCTGCATCTGCATCATGGCAATTCCAGCGCTGTGGGAGCAGAATTTGATCACATGTGGACCCCCGCGATCCGATTGTCATGTCCATAGCATGGCACGAGGCTCGGGACCCTCGGGTCATTTTACTTAACTCGGTCCATCGCGCCTCCGCTCTTCGCTCTTTTGCCTGCCACCGCACTTCCTTCTTCACTCCCACTGGCCCTGCTTTTGCTTTGCACTACGTTTCTCGATCGTGAGACTGGTCAATTGCTGCTGCGCGTATGTCTTTGATTCAACACGTCACTCAAGTAGAAGGCCACGATCGTGAAGAGGCACTAGTCGATCTCTTCCTGCCGCCGACAGACCGACAGAACAATCGTGAGCAAGCCGCGGAACGTCGGCAATCGTTTGACAGCGCCGTCTCCAGCTCTGCATTTTTTGGACTGCCAGGCAAGACTTTACGACGCGTTATCAGCTACGATGCGATAAAAAACCCCGAATTGCCCGTCCCGGGCGAAGAGTATGGCGGGTTGACGCCATACAAGGTCTCGACGACGAAGCGAGTTGGTACGTTGCTGAATTACAATTACATCATACTTGAGATGGTTCGCTGACAGTATGAATAGCACAGGTCATTGCAACAATTCTTGCATGCTGGTTTGCGAGCGGCATTGTGTTTGGTTTCGCAGCGCTCAAGCCGATTCTCATCAGAGAAGGTGTTTTCAGAGATCTTTGCACGCCCGAAGAGCTTGATGCCGACGTCGAAGTCTGCCTGAGTCAAGATCTGAGACTCAATGTATTCTTTTCCATCGCCTCAACTACCGCAAACGTATCAGCGTTGCCAATAGGGACCCTGCTCGACCGTTATGGTCCAAAGCTATGTCTCCTGCTTGGCTGTTTCTGCCTCACCGTGGGCAGCGTTCTTATGAGTCTTGCTTTTCAGATTGCAGACTTTGACGGGTTCACTGTCGGCAACTTTTTTCTCGCTCTTGGTGGCACTTTCATCTTTCTACCGTCTTTTCAAATCGCCAATGCCTTCCCGAAATATGGAGGCAGCATTGTTGCACTAGTCACTGGCGCTTTTGACGCGTCTGCAGCAGTCTTCTTGTTCTACCGCCTCGCGTACGAAGCAAGTAACTACAACTTCAAGCCACAGACCTTCTTCCTAGCCTACCTCGTGGTTCCGTTTGCTATTGCAATCGCACAACTCACCTTCTTACCCAGCGAAGCCTACAAGACTGCACCGCAGCTGGAGATGAAGATTCAGCGAGCCGAGGACACCATGCGCGACGTGCATTCTTCTGATGACGAGCTTCCGCCAGACGAGATGTGGAAAGTTAGGAAGATGCGCAGCGCTCGCCGACGTCAGCGAATGAGCCAGCTCGACGACCTCATCGGTGATGCAGAATGGCGCAGAAGACAAGACGAGAAGATTGAGCAACAGAAAGAAGCATCCGGAGTTTGGGGAGCTTTGCACAATAAGTCCCCAAGAGAGCAGATGCTGACTCCGTGGTTCATCCTCATCACCCTTCTCACCGTCATCCAAATGCTACGAATGAACTTCTTCATATCCACCATTCGTGAGCAGTACATCTACATGCTCAACTCAGTCGAAGCCGCTACCAAAGTCAATGACTTCTTCGACTGGGCGCTACCTATCGGAGGTGTCATCAGCACCCCATTCCTCGGCGCACTCCTCGACAACGTCAGCACTCCGGGTGTGCTTCTCATCCTCGTCTCCATGATCACGCTCATCGGCATCATCGGATCCATCCCGGCTCTATGGGCTGGCTACGTCAACGTTATTCTCTTCGTCATCCTCCGCCCGCTCTACTACTCCGCCATGTCCGACTACGCCACCAAAGTCTTCGGCTTCGCGACTTTCGGCCGCGTGTACGGCACAATCGTCTGTTTCTCCGGCCTCGTCAACCTATCGCAAACAGGTATCGATGCGCTCATGAAAGGATATTTCGGCGGCAACCCAGTCCCCGTCAACATACTCCTCACAGTTGCGGCGTTTCTGATCGGCACGGCGCTGGTTGTTTATGTCACGGTAAACGTTTACAGAATGAGGAAGATGATGGATCAAGACGATGCGATGACTGTTACAGAAGCGGATGTTGGCAGTATCATGGAGAGTCTGCTTGAAGACGATGAGGAGAGGAATTACGGCAGTATTCATCGCGGCCGACCGAATTGGGAGGTTTGAATCATCTGTCCCACGATGCGCTCGCGAAACCCACGCCACTTACATATATAATCATCCCTTACCAGCACACGATAACGGCCGTTCACCAAAATTCTCGGAAGTTCGGAAAATTGTCTCGGCGTTCTGTCATTTCTATCCACATCAGCGTTCTGTTGTTTCCATCTATCGTACTCCTACGCGCCGATACCCGAGCGTGCATTAATAGTCCAGCATTCAGCGAGCGAGCGTATGTCCATCGGTCGTTATTTCAGGTCAGGTAACTGCATTAGCCGGAAGGTTTCCATTGTAGATTTAAAGACTGCCTTTTCCTATATAGTTCAATAGAAAACAGGGGAAAGAGTTTTCGCTATTCAAGATGCAGTGAAAAACCCCTATCCTGTTTCCTTCTTCGATCCACAGTAAAGCACCACAGACACACAGTGTGTGCGTTCTCACATCTCGCCCAATCATTCACTCAACCTTGCATCAGCAACATGTGTTACCCCCACGTAATATTAAAAAATTGTCACTGCCATTGATCCTGTCCTATCCTATCCTATCCATCAGAAAAAGAAGGAGATTCAGAACCAAGCCCACGCGCGCACTTTGACCTGCTGAGAAAGAAAAAAAAATGCTCTTCCAATCCTACGACCAAAGCCCACTAACAGTCTCCACCCCCCTCTCCACAACCGCCTTAACCCGCGCCCTCAGCGGATTACTCGCACACTCGACCTCCAAATCCTCCAGCCACACTTTCGCCACATACTTGTCGAAGCGGATCTCAATGCCTGGCACAGGAATGCCTAGGCCGTGTAGACGCTTGAGTTCCGCCTTGTCCTCGGGGGAGAGGTCCTGTGTGATTTCCGGGCTGGCGGCGATGGAGAAGGAGGAGGGTGGTGATGTAGGGGTGGAGGTGGAAGTGCGTGGGAGGTGGATGGGCGAGACGGATTCAGCACCAAATTGGGCTTCGAGGAAGAGGCAGAGGCGGGCGAGGCGGGTTGCGGGGTCGGGTGTGCGGTGGGGATGGGGGCGGTGCGCAAACTCCATGTTGTGAGGTTTGTCGTGGGAGTGGGAGTGGGACTTTGATGATTCTGTTTTGTGTTAGTATATAGCATAGATATATGGGTTTTCGAAGACGTACGTTTGACAGCCGCGGGCGAACTTTCGACGGTGAAGAGCACGGCTAATACAGCGTCTGCTATACCGTCGTTGATGACGTTGCCTTCCCATTCCACTTCGACGCGCCCGCCGGGGCGGACGAGGACCGTGACGCAGTCCATGACGGTAAATTTCATCTGGTCGCGGCTGATTTCTTCGTCGGCGGCGTCGTGACCGTTCATCTTACTCTCCTTCTCTTTGCCATCGATGTTCTCATCCGTGATCTTCGACTCCTTGATCGCGCCGAACGTGCCTTCAAGCGCCCATCGAATGAGATCAACGCCCGCGGCAGAAAGCGTGATATGCTGGCGACACAGGATGGTTGTGGTGGTGAGACCGGCATATTCCTTGAGGTCTTCAGGCGCCATGAGGGAGATTTTGAAGTCGTTTTGGACGAGGACACCGCTGACCATCTGGACTTCTTCTTCGTACTTCGCCTCTGCTTCGTCGCCGTTAGACAGCGATCGTGGGAGAGGCGGTGCGATTGAGGCGAGTTTGCCAACGACCTTGGCGACTTTGTCGGTCTTGAAAGGAATGCGGAGTTCTTCGCAGTTTGCGGGTGAGTAGATCTTTGTTGGGATGGTCTTTTGGGCGTTGAAAGATAAGAGCTTCGACTTTAGACGTGTCATGTTGCCCTTCTCGCCATGAACGAGGATCTGCGCAACGGTGATTAGTGATATGCTTCACTGGGTGCGGACGACTCGGAAACTTACAACAACGGGAGCAGCCACTTCCTGCACGAACTCCATGTTCTCCTTTCCGTCAACGTGAGCGGCAAAACTGTACTCTTGCACTGTGCATCTTCGAGGAATCATGCTCTGCTCATTCTCCTTTTGACCTGGTCGTCTTGCTGCATTTGCTGATCGTGTCATGATTGCTGGTATCTGATCAGGCTCGTGTACGATCTGCTTCGCCATCGTGCCCTCCACAGAGTAACCGGTAATAATCACACCATTCCTCGGATCTGGAGCCCATCGCTCAAGTAGCTCACGCGATGTGCCGGATTGCATCATACCAGGAGAAGCAAGCATAACACAGGCGCCTAGATCCTGAAACTTGTCCATGCTCTTGAGTGATCGAACAAATCTGAAATCCCAAGCTCCGCGCCTTCCAGTATCGCCTTCTGCCTGAGCCTCGTTCATGCGCTCGGCGAAGAGGCGCTTGATGTTGTCGTTCATGGCGCCAAGATATGTTTGGTAGACTTGCATACACCTTCTTGCTAGACTCGAGTTGTAGTAGATGGGTATCTTCTGGTACTGCTCGTGTTTTGTCCCAATACTCATCGAGAATGAGAAGAAGTTCTTGCGCGCGGCCGAGGGCGAAAACCCGGAAGCAGAGCACGGCCACCGCGGTTCAGGACGTCGGTTATCGACTTCATGAGCTGGGCCTCGCGCTCGACACGCGGTGTATGGGTGGAGATACCGAAAGTAGACTCGGTAATGAGAACGTCGACCTTGACGCCCGGGTGGTACTGAAGCAGAGACCAAATGTCGATCGTCTTCTCGAGAGTAGTCGCCAGTGAATAAGATCTTGAGGCCGGCAATCTCCATCAAAAACATGGCCGCTCCCAGGACGTGTCCAGCCGGATATGGCGTTATCCGTACGCCAGAGACTGTATGTGTGGTGTAGAAGTCAATAGCCTCGATCATGGGGAACGTGTTGAGATGGTCGGCTTCGGTGTACATCTGGATTTTTGTCTCTGAGGAGCTGGACATGTTGCCAACACGGACGGAGTCCTGGATGAGCCACTTGTAAATGGCTTTTGTCGGATGCGTCATGAAAACCCGGCCCTTGAAGTTTGTCTTCGCAAGCACGTATGGCAGTGATGCGGCATGGTCGACGTGGAAACTGGAGAAGTCAGCGCCAGGGAACGACGTAGTTTACAGTGGCTCGCAAATAGACACAAGGAGATGCGGCGCTCAACATGCGAGAGGTACAGTGCGGTGGAAGGCACATCACCGGGGTCGGACTGATAGAATGCAAATTATATTCCATTGATTCTGATATACAAGGTGGTGCTGGACCGAGCCGCGCGCGCATAACAGTCCGACTGTAGTGATGCGCCATGTTCCCTCCATCGAAATATTGAAGCTGAGATGCAAGACATGCGTATACATACTGTGATATTAGTAGCACGTCTACAGTGCTAAGGTCAAACTCGTCGTAGAAGGGCATAGCGGACAGGCCTTCGTAGGCGGGGTGCATGCCAGCGTCGAGCTACACCATGTCAGCAATGCGCTTCTACCTGGGATATTTATATAGACGCACCATGACCGTCTTGCCCTTGTACTGAATGATGTGACATGACCGGCCAACCTCGTTGCCGCCTCCTAAGCAGAGAAACATGAGCTCATCAGAAGGGTCTACTGGGTCTTCGTCCTCGGGAGCCAATGCCGCGAGCTTTCTCTTTGTCGCCATAGTTGCCGGTGCGATCTAACAAAGGCGTTCACGTTGAAGATGGGTCAAGTCGAGGATGGTTGTGAGCGTGCGAATACAAAGGGAGACGCGTTGAAGTGAATTAGAACCGTGATGCGCGGTCCAGTATGCTGCGATTAGTCAGGTGATGTTATCACCGTTCAAATTGGCGCGTAGGGCCGTAGACTGCGGGAGTGTCTGCCGTGTGAGGTGAGTGAGAGCGCGAAAGGAAGCAAGTGATTGTCCTCTTGACCGTTGCGGCTCCTCTTTGTCGCGCGCGCCTGCCAAGCCCGAGTCTGTGCGGCGTCACTCTACTTCGTGCCTTCTCCTTCGACCGAGACATCACAAATATCGACGCGCCCAACCGCCCGCACCCCGCTGCACCTGCCCGAGCCCCCGAAAAGCATCGCCAACTCGCCCTCGCTGGAACGAACCGTCGCCGGATGACGCGCCGATAAAGCCAGCCAGCCCGCGCACTCCCTCTTGGGGGAAGGAGCTGCCCACCATGAACCACAACCACCAGCAGTATCCGCCGCCCGCGCCGCAACAGCAGCAGCAGCAGCAATATGGCCAACACCCGCCGCCGGTGCAGACGCAGAATCTGAACCAGTATCCGCAGCAGCAACAGGGCGCCTATTCTCCGCCGTACCAGCAGTCGCCAACGATGATGTCGCCCAACATGGCAGGCGGCATCCCCCCCGCAAAGCGCCAGCGACTCTCTCCAAACCCGCCGTCGCCCGCGCCATACCACTCGCCCTTTGCCCAGCCAACGTATCCCCCGTCGCAGCCTCAGTCGCCGTATGCTATGTCCCCGCAGTTTTCTGGCCATCTCTCTGTTCCCGGATCGCCTGCGACGCAGCAGCCTCCGCCATTCCACCAGCCGCAGCCCTACCCTCATCCCAACGGAGCGCCCCAGCAACACGCGCCTCAGGGTTCCATGCCGCCGCCCAAGGTGCCGTACAGCAAGACGCAGGACGATGCAGAGCTCGAGAAGCCCAATGGACGAGACTCGGACGTGAACAATCTGAGTGATGTTCTCAGTGGTGGAATCGTCGACCTTCGTGCGGAAGAAGATTTGCTACTACATAGCTACGGAAACCGGAACTATGGTGCATCTTTCAATTCGCAGGCTTCAGGCTCCAACACGACGCCCAACACGAGCTTCAATAACTGGAGCCAGCAGAGCAGCCATGGTGCATTTCAGGGCAGTGGACCGTTGTCTCAGGGCTTATCACAGGAGCAGCACGAGGCCGAATTTCTCAGGAAGCACGAGCAGGCCGCGCGTATACTGAACGAGTCGGCGCAGCAGCCCCTCACCGACCCCTTCCTTGCCGCCAATGTCCTACGACATCGCATAGCGAAACGAGCCTACGAAACCGGTATCCAGGTCAATGTTGACGGACTTTTTGACAAGATTCCCGAGAAGCAAGCTCGAGATAGCACGCGCACAGCCCAGGCTGGCCAGAATGGGGAGCAAATTGTGGGCCTCGAGGCCGCCAGTCTACTCAACCAGACTGCGCCGCTTGTCGAGATTCTCTCGCTGTTAACTTTGGCTGCTGAGGATCGCATTCGTACCCTGGTCGAAGATGCTTACGTCCTTAGCAAGGGCCGTCAGCACACATCACATGGCCTGATTCCACCTCAACTTGTGGACATTGCCGAAGTCGAGAAGAGCGCAGAGGAAAAGATGGTAGCCCCAGTCAACATCCTGAGGACCCCTTGGGAGGCTCCAGACAGCGCTGTCAGTCCTACATCGACAGCAAACAAGCGTAAGACGGATCCCGTCCGAAGATGATGCAAAGCTAATTTAAGTAGAACCACCGAATGTCTCTCGCCTCCCCACCCCGCCCACCGAAGCACCTCCCACGCCTCAGCGCACATTTCAGAATAAGATCAATCATGTCGCGACCCTTCTCAAGCGCAAGGTCGCAGACGATGAGAAGTACGAGAAGGCACGCATAGCAAAGCGCCAGAAGCGTCAAGAAGGCACAGCTGCCACTGCTGCAGACGTAGCGCCAGTCTTGTCACTGCCTCCTCCGGACAAGATGACAAAGAAAGATAAGGATGCACTGAAGAAACAGAATCAAACAGACGACGTGCTCCATCGCAAGGCCAACGAAACAGCCAGTATGGCACTTGGATTCGGCAAAAAGAAAAAGTACTCATGGATGACTGGTGGTGGTCCTGTCGGCGGAGCTGCGGGTGGTGGTTCCGGCGCGGCAACACCCAAACCAACCGCTTCTGCTGGCGCAAGTGGTACGGCGACACCAGCGGGCGCAGCACCAGCAATCGACAAGGGCCTTGTCGGCAAGAAGAGAAATTTCGGCTCTCCCATTGAGACGACGGAGATTGGCGCGAAGATCCAAATCCGCGATCTGGTCCATGTCCTGGAACACGATGGTAGAGAAAAGAAGACGCTCGCTTTGATGCTCGCCCGCCTTAAGAACGTGGAGAAAGACGAGAAGCGACCGGATTTTGATCGGAAACTACCGAGCGCGGCGGGACGGTAGACTTGCGCGTACTACCGCAACTAGTCCAACGCTCTCCTCTGGGTCCACAGTCCTAGCAAATCGGAACTCTAAACCGTTTCCTCGATGACGTCCTTCCGCAAGCTCCCTATCTCCCGTGCGTTCTTTCGCTTCTCTTGTTCACCATTGCTACTTGTTTTCTGGGCTCATCAGCGCCGGCGTTCTTTGGCTTCATTCAAACGGGTACGGAAATTGTATTTATACTGCATCATATCCCAAGCGCTGGGATTACCAGGGGCTTTTCTTCTTCTGTGAGGTTCGTGATAAAAAAGGCTCCAAGGGGGATTTTTGAATGAGGGTGGTGCGAAATACAATAATACATTCATACAAGATCAGAGTGGATGCAATGTGAAGTGAAGTCTAGGTGTTGCAATCTATTAGACTCCGAAGAGTTAAAAACGGCGAAATTAATTACAGCTGTGACTTTTCAATCGTGAGCCATGTAGATATGCATCGACCATTGTTCAACGACTCAGCCTTGTCCGCTCAGCAAATCGTCATATCCTCCAGCCCATCATCCTCATCCCCGATATCCTCCCGATGCTCCGGACTCGTATCCGCATCCGCAAACTCATCCTCGTCTTTATCATCAATCCTCATCTTCCCCACCGCCTCCCACTCCCCCTCTCCATTCTTCCCGTGATAAACCTCCTTACTATCCTTCCTCTCCTTCTCCATCTGCTTCTCCCCCTCCTCCACCGCCCTACGCATCTCCTCTTCCTCTCCCTCCCCCCTGTTCCCCAACACCCACCTCCCCACCCTCTCCTCCTCCATCTCCATCTGCCCGCCCCAATCCACAAACCCTTCAAATTCCCCATCCCAGCCCCCCTCGTCAATTGCCCACCCAATCGGCTCCTCGCCCTTACTCAGCCGCATGAGTTTCTCAAACGCGCGGTCGCGGCCCGCAGGCGTGCAGAAGGGCTGTTCGCCGCGCTGCAGGCGCGCGGCGTTCTCGGCGCACGTGAAGGATTTGAAGGAGCGGTAGAGGTGGTGGCTGGGCGTCTTGGGGTTCCAGGGGTTGTAGGAAGAGGGGTTGGAGAGGTAGGTTGAGGGGTGCGAGTGTGGGGGGTGTGGGTGCGGGGTGGAGGAGGTGGGTAGGTGAGGTTTCTTTGGGAGGGCGGTGAAGGAGAAGGCGTTGAAGGGCATTTTGGATGAGGTGTGGTGGGTTTGTATTGAAATGCGGTGCGCGTAGTGGTGGATGGAGCGGTTCCTCTGGTAGTGCCGTTGTAGTGGCCTGCGGTGTGTGTGTGGTTGTCCTTGGTAGTTGTCTGCGGTGCGTGTGCTGGTTGGACTGCCACTACGATGTGGTTTCTGACGGGTTTGATGGATTTGATGAAGTTATTGCAAGTGTGTTATGAAGGGATGATGTGGGAAAGACAAGAGGGCAGAAATATCGTCATGTGGAAAGTAGGCCTGGTCAGGCATTTCTGGTACTATTACGTTGCACTTCCAGTAGTAGAGATGTTGAAGTTCACCTACCATACTTCTTGGTCGGCCATCGTGTAACCGCAGCGAACCATGCTGCCTTAGGTCCCTGAGATTACTGGATTGAATACCGCGACTAGCGGATCTAGACAACGGCTCGTATCATTGTGCGCGTGTCGTGAGGGATAAGAAGAAGGAGAAGGTGAAGTGGAAATCGATTGGTCCTCTGCGGTGATGCTCGTCTGCAGCATGATGGCTGAACGCTGGCCTGGCCTACTTGGAAAAAAAATCCGGTTCGGTCTGCCAATATCACGTCGTTGTACTCCAGATACCACTTGCTCGTGCTTGAGCCCACTCCACGCTACAAAGGCAGCATGTGCGTTGAGCAGGCACAGCAGCTGTTGACAAAGCGCAAATCGACCACGTCAAGGATCGCCGAGCAGAATCTGATCTGCATTCTTTCTCCAAGTGTTACATCTTCGCACATGGTGTGCTTGTTAGTGTTTCAGGATGCACCCTTCTTCAGTCGATCATGTATGATGAAGAAGTCAAGTTCCTTTCAAGCGACGTCGTTCGCTTAGTCCAGCCATCCGCGGCGTCTTGCCCCATACGTCTAGTGGAGTTGATGAGCTGATGTGAGCCAAGCCAGGGGTGCGCACCGCTTTGGGCATCGCTGGACGCAGTGAAGGAGCCAGCAGCCTGGCACAGAGAGGCACCGAAGTCCCGCAGAACTGGTGTCGTCCTCGAGGAGGCCTCTGGCGGCGTGACGGTGCGAATACGCGTCATTTGCCGGCACGTGGCGCAAACACAATGCATCATGAATCCTCCAGGTCTTTGTTGTTGCTGCGGGCTCGGGTTTGACAGCGCCTGCACCCTGGGCGAGGGTGGCGGGTTGTGGGCCCTGTGAATGGCGGGTTGGTGGTGCTGAGGTTCACCGGTTTGACAATGACCCGCCGCTTGTTTACCCCTCCAGTGCACAGCACCGCTGCTGGAGAAGACAGCAGCCACGACGAAGCGTCCCTGCCTGCCCTGATCCGAGCCGCACATTCGAGTGTGAGAGACGCCCGGGGCCAGAAAGACGAGTGCGTGCAGCTGCAGCCATTCCGCCAGGACCGCTGCGCCTCTTGAAGCCCGTCGGCGGGGAGCTCTCAGCCTTGTTCGGCGCCCAGCGTTGGATCGCATTGTCAGCCGCAGCAGCTGTCCCAATTTACACGACTTCACCCCACTCGCTGTCTCCAGCCCTCCTCTCTCTAACTGATGAATTCCATGAATGCCCGTTTCAAGAACCTCGTGGGCTCGAAACGCAAGAGTTCAGCTGGCAATCCGACTCCATCACCACAGGGCAGCATCGCCCCCACCGGACAGCAACGACCGACGTCGCTTTCACCGCAGGCTTCGAATTCGAGCAGCTCCTCGCTCCCGATGAATCAGCAAAATCCCCTGGGCCGCCCGCCCTCGTACACGTACGCGCAGTCTGGCGGCCTCGGTGCGCCCAACCAGCAGCATGGCCGACCTGCCAGCCCTCTCCCACCCATCAACACAGGCGCACCGGGAGGCTATCCGCCGCAACAGCCCATGGGCTACCCCCCGCAGGGAGGACCGCCTGGCTATCCCGCCGCGCCCGGAGGAGGACAGTACGGGCAGGCATACGGTGCACCCCCGCCCAACCCGGGTGTGCCTCTTGGGCCGCCAGCGCAATACAGACCGCCTGGGCACACGGGCGAGCTGCAGGGCGAGGGCCGCTCCAAGGCGCAGCTGATTGTCGGTATCGATTTCGTGAGTATCGCCATGTCTCGGGTACGCGTGGCGCAGTCGCTGATTGACCCCAGGGCACTACCTTTTCCGGCGTTGCATTCGCCTTTGCTACCAACACCGAGGCCAAGGAAGACATAATCACTGAATGGCCCGGCGCGGGAAATCAGACAAAGCAAAAGGTAGTCGAGCGTTCGTCCTGCATGAGTAGCTTCGTCTAATCACAGTACAGATCCCCACCGTATTGTACTACGATCAGTACCAGAAGGTTGTAGGATGGGGACCAGACATTGCCGACGCATTGGCTCCGACCGGCTACCCCAAGCCTGGCGTGCAAAAGGTGGAATGGTTCAAGCTGCAGCTCATGCTGTCTGGCAACACATACATCGACCCCATCAACCTGCCGCCTCTACCCCCGGGCAAGTCAGAAATCGACGTGGCCGCCGACTACCTCTTCCACCTCCGACAGGCGATGCGAAACCAGCTGCAAAAGACGCTGGGTGAAGTTTTCAACCGTGAAGAGCGCAACATCAGATACTACCTGACCGTGCCCGCCATCTGGAATGATGCTGGAAAGGCCGCAACACGTGCCGCAGCCATCCAGGCTGGATTCCTCCGTGACGAGAACGACAACAGGTTGACACTTATCACCGAGCCGGAAGCTGCCGCTATGTTTTGCTCAAAGACTGGTCTTCTAAACCTCAAGATCCACGACGCCGTCCTCATCGTCGATTGTGGTGGTGGTACTGTCGATTTGATTGCGTACGAGGTCGAGGAAGAGCAGCCATTCTCCGTGGCTGAGTGCACAGCAGGATCCGGTGACTCTTGCGGTTCAACGGCCCTCAACCGAAACTTCAGTAACATTCTGCGCGCCAAGATACGGAAGATGAAGCTCCCTGACGGTTCCAAGACTGCCGGCAAAGTATACGCAAAATGCATCATGGACTTTGAGAACAGGATAAAGGCCGACTTCCGAAACAACGGTCAAAAGTGGGCGGTCGATGTTGGTATTGAGGCCGAGTTCCCAGAGGCTGGCATCGAGGAGGGTTACATGACATTTACAAACGAGGAGATTCTGCAGTGCTTCGAGCCTGTAGTAAACCGAATCTTGGAACTTGTTAGGAACCAGATCATTGCCATCCAGGCGCAAAACAGGGCATTACAGGTGAGTCGAGATCATCAGCAGTTTTGATGCAGTACTAACGATATTAGAATGTCCTTGTCGTCGGTGGCTTCGGTGCATCCGAGTACCTCTTCCAGCAAAATCAAACTTCATGTACCCCCTCAATTCCAGTCCAAGGATCGTCCGACCCATGGACTCTGTCGCTGCCATCGTCAAGGGTGCCGTCACCGCCGGTATCACTGAACGAATCGTCACACACCGCGTCGCTCGTCGACACTACCTCATGGCCACTCTACAACCATTCAAGGAGGGCCACCACCCGGAACAATACCGCGTTTCCATCTCTAGACGGCAAGGACCGATGCAAATACACGCGCCAAATATTCGTGCAAAAAGGTCAGCGTGTCAAGATCGGCGAGCCCGTCAAAGTCTCTTTCTTCCGCCAAGTCGCCCCCGGTGCCACGCTCATGTACGAAGGACATACTCTACGCCTGCGACGACGACGTCTGTCCAGAATACACCAAGGATCCTCGTAAGTTATCAATCTCCAGTCTGACTTATCCACACTAACTTCGTCTAGGCATCAAGGAAGTCGTAACCCTAACGTCTGACCTCTCACGCAAAAACCTCGAAAAGGACTTTGAACGCATGGACACGCCCCAAGGCACCTTTTACCGCGTCTACTTCGACATCTACCTCACGCTCGACGGCTCGGAATTCAACGCCGAGCTTGTCTGCCAGGGCGAAGTCATGGGTCGCTGCACTGCGAGATTTAGGTAGAAAATAAAATACGAGAGTGCAGGCGATGAGGTGTGGAAACATGTCCCGAGGGCGAAAATCTTTCTGGTTTTTTTTTGGTGTTCTTTTATCGACGGTACTTTCAAGCTTCAGCATACCCCCCAAACGTACTTTATGAATGAAAGCTTTTGTTCCTTCAGATGTGGTGCTGTAGCATGGCTTGCACGTGAATATATTGACTAGCTGCCTTGCAGACTCGTGCCTGTTTGCAGATACTAGGCGAAAATATGAGGTAATTCGAATGAGAGAAACTAATTCAGACCGCGTAGTAGAGCGAGGTTGATATACTCGATCTATTCATTCTTCCCCATATATATATGGTATCCAATGACTTTCCAAAACGCTGCACAATCCAGCAGTAAATATGTGCTTCACTAGGTATCGTATCAAATAAAAAGGAATCCTTCCCCATCCCCATCTCCTCCCATCCAAATCGCATCTTCATCCAGTCCAGACCCAATCTTCCCTCACGAACCAAAAGCTATAAACCCCAAAAACCCACTCAGAAACAACAACACGACCGCCACCACAAACATCGCAACCACCTTCTCCACCCCGTGCCGTACATCGTCCGTGCGCGACACGACTTCGCCGGACTCGGGGTCAATTTCGACGAGCACGTCGCGGCGCCGTGAGGTAGGGAAGATTGGCGCGTCGTGGTAGGGTGTTTGCGAGGGTGCGTACGCGTGGTATGGGTGTTGGTGTTGGATGAGGAGTGTTTCGCGGATGGCGACGGAGTACGGGGGCGGGGAGTTTGAGGGGTAGGGTGGGATTAGGTACGCTAGGGGGATATTGTCGTCGGTTGGGAGAGGTGTGACGGGCGCTGAGTCGGTGTAGGGTCGTTGTTGGTGGTGGTATGCTGGAGGATTGGCGTGGGATGCGGGCCGCGTGTGGTGGTGGGTCATCGCGATATGTGGATGATGGCTCGTCGCGGTATGTGGAAGGGTCGTTGTGATGTGTGTTTGGTGGATCGTCGCGATAGGGCTCGTGTACAGGCGCTGGTTGCGGCGGCGCAGGAAGCGGTTTTATGGTCGAAGAGCTGTGCGAGGAGGATGTGGAGCGTGAGCGAGTGGGGCGGGTTGGTGAAGAGCTTCGGGAGGGTGGAGGGGAGTCGTGGTACGGAGTGTTCTGGTGGTGAATTAAATACAATGCTTCGGTCTCTAGGTAGACGAGTACGTACCTCCATGGCTATCAACCGTCTATACAATGCTGCTAAATGCCGTGCTTACGTCCAAGAAGTGTGTAGTTCAAAAGAGTGTCAGGATGCAGTTCAGTTCACGTAGCTGTTTGCAGGTAGGTTAGTAGAAGTGGCCGCACGGGGGTTAGCAATGTCTCTAGAGATGGATCAAAGCTGCAGGCTCTGACATGAGAAGCAGGAGGCCCTGCGCCCGCCCGCAGTCGCGGCGCAGTCATCAAGGCAAGCAAGAGGGGTGTTGGTGTCGTCCTACGTGTGGCTGGGGCGGAGGGCTCTAGCGCTTGGATGCCTCACATGGGCCCCACGTTCTTCGGCCCGGTTAGGCGGATTTGGCAGCAACGGCAGCGCGTCGCGAGTCTACTATGCTGCTTATATGTCATTCTCTTTCATTGCAATTGAACTGCTTGAAGATATTGAACGTACTGTTGTACGCTGGTTAAGTTGCAAAGAGCGTCGCAGCATCGCCACAATCTCGAAACGCCAATGAGAACACCCGACATTTCAGGTCACCTATGGTTCTTCGAAGTGTTTCAAGTCGAAAATAGAAACCGTCGAATTGTCTGGGCAAGTTCACGGGAGCCGTGCCGACGACATAGTTCGTACTAGGACCAGATCGTGTTGGCGCTTTTCTTACGACACCCACTATTTGGATTCCCTCCAACTCGATCCTCTGCTACGGGAATACGATCGTCATGTTATTCATCCCACAATACAGATACATTTTTCGGGACTCCAGTGTTGTCGCTTTCCTATCATATGGAACGCCCGCTGCGCCTGGTCAACTACAACTACAAGCATCATAAACATTCTATTGGATGTTATGTTCGGTGCTCATTATCTGGTTGACAGGCGCAAGGCCTGAAGTCAACCGTAGTATCTAGTGCCATCCGACCCTAACTCCTCCTTCACGAAAATGCAAGCTCCGCGCAAGTCGCTCTCTGAATTTCTAAACAGAACCGCTGAGCCTTGTTAACACAGGTGCTTTACCTGCATGCAAGCGTCCTGGTGATCACAGTATGTGCCACGTATCTAGGGCCACGCTGTGTCTGAACAGCACTAGCAGAGTGTAACCAAGCTAAAACATAAGTCAAAGTTGTACGACTTCACGGTTTCCTTACCATCCCATGACATACCAATCGACCATTGAGTCTAGTCAGACTTGCACATAACATTACCGCTGTTCTCTGAACTAGAGTATACTAGAAGCGCGAGGAAACACAACGAGACGATATGGCACATGGTATACAGTTGAAGCCTATTCTTGATGCGCAAAAGAAACATGGCCCAATATTCCGTCGCGAACTCTTCGACATCGCCTACAAATCCTGGATATCCATCGAGGAGAATGCTCCAGAGAATAAGGTATCTTCAGAACAGGAGAGCTCTCGCCTCAGGCGGTTCTTGGACACCAAAGCTGTCAGTTGCCGACATATACGGAATCAAGCGGGAGACATCGTTATCCAGGGATGATTACATGGAAGAGGTTGACAAGCAGACATACAAGTTCAAGCGATGCTGGACATACCACGACATCCAAGACCTAGGGATACCGGGTACTGTAATAATCATGGCAACTTGCTGCCGTTTCGACATCGGCACTAGAGGGCGATCTCGTACAAGAAGAAGTTTGAAGAC